AATTGGTAGCAGGCACTCTTTTAAGTGCTTTCCGAATATTAGCACTCCCCCCTAGGTAGGCATTGCTCTTGATCTACCCATGAGGAAACTGAGGCACAGTGGGAGTTAAGGAACTTGCCCAAAGCTGCACAGCCAGTAAGTGGGGGTGGTGAACTGAAATTGGACTCCGGGAGTCTGACTCTGGAGTCCAAACCCTTAACCACACTATTGTTCTGGGTGACATAATAAAAGAGCTAATATTTCCCAAGTGCCAGGCATATTCTTTCATGTGCTGTGTGTCCCCACTTTGCAGATGGAGTAAAGTATGAGGGGTCGCAGGAAATGGCAGAGCCAGACGCAGCCGTGTGCCCCTCCCTGCCAGGCCCCTGTGCTCCCGCCAGCCACCATTTGCCTCCAGAGGCGGGGGCAGCTGAAGTCCCACAGAGCAATTTTAAAAATTTTATTGATATCTATTCTTTCTCCAGTGAGAGGCTACACAAGATTTCAAGGGGAGAAATTTACACTCCTCTGTTGTGAATTAGTGTTGAGAACACATCCCAGCAATAGTCCCTCCCTTCCTCCCCCATTTCCCCAGAGATTTTTGTGATTATCCCCCTTCCAGTGCTGCTGGCAATTGAGTCTAGAGGCCACCTGCTAGGCTTTCACTTTGCTGGCTAAACCATCAGCGATTAAATGACCTTGTTCCAGGATGATGCCTGCCTTTATTGGTGGTGTTCCAGTGGTCTGATGATCTAACCCCCCAACCTTTTCACCTGCCTTCCCCTCCCTCTCCCCCTGCTTTTTAATTGGAACTACTGGCTCCAGGCAGTGAGAATGAAAATAAATGAGCTGTGACTGAACTGAATCCCCCCCACCCCGCGCCCCGCCAGTTCCCCAATTGCAATGTAGTAACAAACTTTCAGCTACAGTGTGTTTACATCCCTCTATTGGGATGGCAAACTCCTTCTCCAATTGAGGTGGTCTTGGAATGAAAATGTAGCCATTAGCATGGGCTGGGCCTAGCTGGCTCCATGTTTCTTACATAGGGCCATGGGAGACATGCTTGGAAAATTGTTTCCCCTAGAGATTTTAAAACACTGTTATCCCTTACCCCACATCCTCTTGCCCTGAGTCAGTGTGAAAGCATGTAAGCTGCTGGTGCTGCCCAGGGTTTGGGGAGTCGTGCTGCCTGATGCAGTTGGGTTAGGCCATCTGAGGAATGCCTCCTTTGGATGGTCATAGTCAGTCCCCAGTGTAGGCCCCAGATCAGTGTCCCTGGTCTTTCCACACCCCACTAAGCTTAGGAGACTTGGGTACCAGCAGCGTTCACCTTCCAGAGCAGCACCTGGGCTTCCCCCACAGGGCTTCTCTCTACACGCAGGTCACATGGCTACAGGACCCTTCAGAGAGGACTTTCCTCTTCTCCACACCCGCAGGTCACAGGAATTCATGTAGTGAGAATTTGAGGGCAGGTGGGCAAAGGAAACAGTGAAGGTTTGCCTATTTATATTACATAAACAACATTTATTACAGTAAAGGAAATACAATTGTTCCCCATATTCCCTCAACCAAATGTACCTACTTTATTATCTATTTCCTTCCAGTCTTTGTCTAATTGTATAAATATTTTGCCAGTAGTGATCGTAGCGTAGGTGGCATTTTTGTTATGGTCTTTCCCTTAACATTTCATAAGATGTTTTTCTATGCTCTTACATGGTTTTATCATTGTACTTTTAGTGACCGCATTATAATGTACCATTACATTGTTGAATATTTCAATTGTTTTCAATACTCTTATAAAAAATGCTAAATGTATGTATTTATGTCTGTTTTTATTCTTCCTTTGACTTTATTGCCATAATAAATCACATGAAATTATTGGGTCAAAGAGTATGAATACTTTTATGGCTTTTGTTACATTAAATCATTTTCTTTACTAAAAGTGTAATAGCCGTTTACACTGCTACCAGTAACATATAAACAGGCCTATTTTAAATGATGAGTTTGATGTTAATAACAGTCATATCTTACTTTTCTAATTTAATGACAACAAAGTGATTCCTTGGTCTTCATTTATACTTCTTTGATTGCTGAGGAAATGAAACTTTCCCCGCATCTGTTTGATTGTGTTGCCTCTTATGTAACTTGTCTGTCTGTATTCTGTGCATATTTGCTGGAGACTTGGCATTTTTCTTACAAATTGACATGGGTAACTAATAACCTCCCCAGGGCGACCCAAATTAATGCTTTAAGCTTAAATGTAATGAAAAAAAATCTACAAACATAAGTTTAATATGTACTACATTGATACCTGTCCAATAAAAACATGACATTATATAGTGCTTATATCTGCCAGGCACAATTCTAAGCATTTCATCTAGCTCTGTGAAATATGTACTACTTTATTCCCATTTTATAGATGGAGAAACTGAGGCAAAAGATGTTAAGAAACTTGTCCAAACCAAACTTGGTAGGTAAGCCAGGATTCCGAGCCTGGCAGTGCGGCTCTTGCCTCTGTGCTGTAATCCCTTCAACTTTGTTTCTTACTAGTTAGGGGCAAGAATCAGGAAAAGAGCACAGCGGAAGGTACTGCCCTGGGGATTGAATCAGGTGCCTGCACCCAGTCCCATAGACTCAGGAGATGTTGGTGCTCCTCTGAACTATTTGCTCACTATTTTAGAATGCATTGAGAAGTGAGCAAATGTAAGAATGAAACTATTGTGTAGCAAGATACACACCTTATTGCTTTAGGAATTATTCCTAAGGCTTTTTTGAAGGTGTGTTTGCATTTTTCCAACTGTATTCCAGTAGGGGCTCCCTTCATCATTCATGTCCAGGGTACTCATTCTTCCGCCGTTTCTGCTGTCAGTTTGTGCTGTTAACCACCCCCGCCCCTCACCCCCTGCTTGTGATTTGGCAGGTTTTATTTTGACCAAAGGTTCTTAGGCCATAGATGCCTAGTTTATTTGTTTTAGGTAGATTTAATGGAGTTTATTTTAGGGTGTGTCCAACATATTATATGCTCAGTGAGTTTTCACACTTGGGGTGCTGAAGTTATGTGAGCATTTAAATCATTTGCTCTGTTGTATAAGGAAATAAAAAGGGAGGGACAGATAGCAGATAGGCAGGGTGCTTTTATTAGTAGATCTTTATTGATTTAAAACTTCGAATACAAAAAAAAAAAAACAGTTGAATTCTGCCCAGAAACAATAAAATAAGAAAATCTGTGGAGGACTATTTACTCCATTGTTCCCTCCCTACCCCCACCATGCTTAGCTATCTTCCAGGTCTGAGATACGTCTTTATGTGGAAATGCGGGCTGATAAAATTGTAACCACAAACAAACAAGCAAAAATCACATCGCGCCCTAACTCCTTTTCCACAGACACCGTGTATATCAGTGACTTTCAGTTGGCATCTGAATGAGTTGTAGTAAATTTACATATTTGGAGTTACAGCCTTTTGATGTTTTTTTCTGTATGGTGAGAATAATCCATCTCAGCATCGTCAGTTTGTGGTTTCAGTTTAGTGTGGCAAAATTTACCGAACTCTCTGAATCAGTGCTATCTTCAACATGTTTCTAAGGAAAATACGGAACTGTGACACCCTGGTGGACACTTGTCCTTCAGTTAAGAGGAGGGGACTAGGTGAGTGTGGCGAGGGAACAAAGTAGGTGTGCTTAGGTTGCCTGGAAGAAGTCCTTCAGCTCATCTCAACTTGAACAAGCTACTGCTGAAAGGCAGCGTTTACGAGTTGTAGGTGGCACACTGCCTGCCCTGAGGAATCCAAGCTCTGGAGACAGGAGATAACTAGACTCCTTTTCATGTTGGATTTATTTCAGGATTCTAAGAAATCAGTTCATCTTGTACAGTTCAGCCATCAGAGTAAGCTGGTTATTGGTCATCAAAGGTAGCTTCATTCATAAAGTTGGCTCTCTGCAGAGACAGCGGCCAGGTGTCGAAAGGCAGGGGGGTGGGGGTATACCTTTTCTCAGTGGGGTTTCCTGCACTGGTCATAGAACCTCCCAAAAGGAGTGATTAGGCAGCTTGCCGATGAGGCCACAGCCACTGCGGACCTTCTCATTGCCGCTGGTTGGAGCAGACAGTGCCATGACGGCCAGTGGAGCCAGGCATGGATTTGGGTTCCGACTTGTGTCCTCGGCTGAGTGTTTTTGTGCACTAACGCAAACCACAGCTGTGTGCTGTGACTTAGAGAACACTAGCAGTAATATAGCATGATAAGGGGATAAAATGGCCCAGGTCAGATGTACTTCACTGCTTTTAATGCAGTTTACTGGCAATGTATATTTTATTTTACTGGAGCTTTCCAGCCTACCTTTCTTTGGGTTGTATCTCTACCTTTTACTGTGCCACAGGCACACCAGGCTGTTCTTGCCTCCATGCGTCAGCAAATAGTAACTGCTCCTTATTTTTCACTTAGCTGTCTCCTGCTCATTCTTCAGTTCTCAGTTTAGACATTGATTCTTTCAGGAAGTCCACCCGGATCTCCCAAGTCTGAAGGATATCCATTTAGGTATATCCTTATAGCATCTTGAACTTTCCATTCTTAGTGCTTAATACACTACAATATTGTACTTCCTGGTATGTTTGTTTGGTTTTTGTTTTGTTTTGTCTGCATGTCTTCATTAACATGTAAACTCCTCGAGGCAAGAAATGTTAATGCTATTCATAGTTGTATTCCAAAGATATAGCATAATACCTGGCACCCAATAAACATCTGTTGAAGACCAAACTCATCAGTGCATACATACAAACCCTTATTAGTTGCTAGAATCTGTATATATGCTCTGGCTTGATTATATTGGCTGTGATAGATTTTGCTGTTGAATAAGTGACCTCACAATTGGGAAAGGCAAATCCTTGGTGAGATACTGCAGAAGGCTGTGTGAGAGTCCTGATTATATGACTCACTCAGATGCTGATCTCAGAGCCAGAGAGCTAGCTGGTCTTCGGAAAACTGAGTTCTAAAGCACACTAACCACCTTCTCTTGCCTTCTCTAGCACTGGAAGACGCAGCACAGTGAGGAGTATGAAGCGGAAGGTAAGAACTGAGTGTGTGTCAGGGAAGGAAGGGCTGCTGTCCACAGGCACTCTCCACACTCCCCTTCCTGCATCTCCTAGCCTTCTCCCTAGTAGTTTGGTGTGCTGGCGGCCTGCTAAGAAGCAACCTTAAGAACAGCAGCAGCAATCCATTCCCAATTGGGTAGCTCGTTTTAAAATACTAACCTTTAACATCATGCAAGATATGGAAACTAAGATGTAGGATTTCACTTACAGGTTAATTACTCTCATATAGACTTTGAAATTCATCTGTGAACAGTCCTGAATTAAATACTGACCTATCTCTTGACAAGTTGTAGATGTATTTAAGAAACATCGAAACACGTTGATCTTCTGGCCAGCAGATGGCACTGTGGTTCAGCCGACAGAACCTGCCTACCCTGGCAGGTTAACTGTAAATGCAGTTACAGCGTGTTCTCTAGGTCTCCAACCTGTAAAGACACAGCAGTAAGAGGCTTGATCTCTTTGCTGAATAACCCTATGCTCTGCTCAGCCCTCCAAGGTTCTTCCAGGCACACAAAATTGTGCCAGTAGGATCTCATGTTTAAGTAATGGCTTTAAAGACTCTCTAATAGGTAAGTTGAAAATTTAACTAGAAGTGAGAACTTTAGAACACAAATTTTGATTTTTAAATAAATAGTTTGACCCTTAAGTCTTCAAATAGAACTTATCCTTAACATATAGATAATTAATAACTTGTGAGTCACAACCTTTTATTCATTCAAGTTGAATTGCCAGTCAGAATATTCACATGTGTAAAGATTTGGGGAACAAGCTAATCTCGAGACTTTATGATTATTTTATATTTATCATGAAATTTTCTTCTCAGCTAAAGTAGTCCTAGTGCTTACACTAGAAAGAATATGGAGATAGTAAAAATCATGGTAGCTCTGGTCGAGGCAGCATGCTTAAAGCTCTCCGGAATGCCTCTCAGTAGCCTTCTCGTTCGATGACACCAATGCGTAAGCCTGTGCCTGTTTCCTGTTGGAATAAAACAAGACTAGAGCCTTGGCATGACTGCATGGGAAATAGTTCCTACACGGGTCTGACTGCCAGCGAACCCCAAAACGTGCCTGTTTGCTCTAGTTGCAGCCTGAGAACTGACGGTCCCATTTTATTTGAACTTTAGAATCAACTCAAAATGGAATCAACATGCATAGTATTTTTAAAAAAAAATAGTTTTTACTTTCAAAAAGCACGTTTTCTTTGAAACTAGGTCTCTTTGCCATCCCTTTGGAGAAAACACAATGTAGGCTTTTGTTTCAGGCCAGCTAAGATTTTGGAACCCAGATGATTTGACTGCCTCCCAAAGTGGGTCTTCCCCTCCCCAAGACTGGATAGAAGAGAAACTGCAGGAGATTTGTGAAGATTTGGGGATTACCCGAGATGGTCACCTGAACCGAAAGAAGCTGGTCTCCATCTGTGAGCAGTATGGTTTGCAGAATGTCAATGGAGAGGTAAGCCACGCATCATATTTTTATTCATGAATAATAATCATAGTAAAAGTTCAGCTGGCCACAGGCTAGAAACAGCCATATTTTGGCTTCCTGCAGTGTGTTACAGAGACTCCACTCTCTTTTCCCTGGGAAGTCAGCCACTGAGATTCTGTCTTTGAGGAGCTCTTGAATTAAACTGTAGCCACTTGCAGGAAGTTGCATCTTTGTGGTAGAGTTTTTAGAACCTTGGAAAAGAAGAGTGTATCCCTGGCCAGTGTGGCTCAGTTGGTTGGAGCATCGTCCCATAAACAGAAAGGTTGCAAGTTCAATTTCTGGTCCCCAGTCAGTACATTTGCAAGAGGAAACTGATAGAAGTTTCTCTCTCACATCAATGTTTCCCTCCCTCACTCTGTCCCTCCCTTCCCCGTCTCTAAAATCAATAAGCATATTCTTAGGTGAGGATTAAAAGGAAAGAAGTAGCATATGTAGTTATTTTCCTCTGATCTCAGGTTGAGTAAAGATTGCTTATTGAATACAACTTTTACTTAGTGCTTTCCTCTTCTAAAAAATCATGAAATACTGTAGTATTTGTTTTTTTAATTTATTTTTTATTTTATATTTTCCATTACCATTTATCCTCCTTATGCCTCCCTCCCCATCTCTCATAATCACAACATTGTTGTCCGTGTCCATGAGTGCTTTTTCCTTTTTGCTCAGTCTCTCCACTTCCTAACCTCCAGAGCTGTCAGCCTGCTCTGGTACTTTGTATTACTAGCTCTCTGGACCACAGAGGAGCTGAAAGTTCAAGATGATTTCATCAGCATACAATTTGGAATCCTAGAATTTTACAACTGAAAGCAATTTTAGACTTAGTCACTCCTCATTTCATAGATGGAGACAGTGAGATCACTGCTGCGTGTTGCGTTACCACAAAGGGGGAACTAGAGTCCCGGGTTATGTCTGTAACTCATACCCTGCTTATTGGAAGCAAGGACATCTGCAGGGCAGGGGTGGCCAACTGTCACTCTAGATGCCAAATATGGCCCAATGGCTATTTTATTTGGCCTGCTCAATGTTTAAAAATTGAACTGTTTTGCTGCACTTTTAAAAAATGTATTTTATTTATTTATTTGTAGAGTGAGAGGAAGGGAGGGAGAAAGATAGGGAGAGAAACATGATGTCAGAGAGAAACATCTATCGGTTGCCTCTTGCACGTGCCCCAACCTGGGACCAAACCCATGACCTAGGGTGAATAGGGAGGGTGGGGCACGGGGGTTGTGTCATTTTTTATCAAAAATTACTGACTATTTAGCCTGGTGTGGGCAGGTGCGCTCATAAATCATGAAATGGGCAAACATGTTGACAGTGTCTTCAAAAAAAAATTCACTGAGGTCAAATGCAGCCTCTCACAACAACACCAGCTGGTACACTGGCACAGATGGGTTCCTACAACACTTACCTAGTGGAGAAAGCCTGTACTACAAGGGGCCCACCCTCCAGAAGATAATTCTGGGGATTTTTAGGTGCCCCCCTCATATGTGCCCTGACTGGAAATCTAACTGGCAACCTTTTGCTTTGCAGGATGACACCCAACCAACTGAGCCACACTGGTCAAAACTGCAGTTTTATAAATCAGGAAATTTTTCTAAAAGTTGGGTCTGGCTGCATTTTACTGGCAGTGAGAGGTGCCTAGTTCCTTTGGACAGGGCCTGCCCTCATGTGTTCAGTTCACTGCTTTAAATAGCAGTGCTTTCTCCTGTGTCCAGGTTGTCCTGTCCTGTCATTTATTTATTTGCCTCCCTGGCCTCTCTAGGTACTTGGGTTCATGGCCCCTATTCGAGTGCATTGTTTTGCAACTTACACATTGGGACATCAACCATCCAAAGACCTGACTGGCATGTCATGGGGAATAAGAATGTCCTCAGGGTTCCAGTTTCGGCTCCTGCACAGGCCACAGGGGGTGCCCCACTTGCCCAGTTGACTTGTACTCTTTTCAGCCCAACCCTGCTCATCCACCCTCTTCTGAGTTCACATCCTTTTTATTCGCCACTTGCCCTCTCCCCCATGTACAATAATGGGCAGGTCGCACTCTGAGTGGGTCAGGTGATGGGTGTTTGGGCAATCTGGAAGCCATGCATTGATTTGGCCGGGGCCACAAACTCAAATAGTGTGGACTAAGGTTGGAGCCAAAATACGCTGTTAACTGCAGTCAGCACAGCTGGGTTTTACTGTGACTCCTGGTTTGACGGGCCTGAAAGTCTTGTCCACTAAGCAAGTATTCTTCTGGTTGATAAGAATGAGACGGAGAAGCCAAGGGATCTTGGCAACTTCAGAGCCTTGACCCAAATACCTTTCCGTTGTTTTCACCACACAATTCTCTGTGAGGAACTGTTGCTTCTGCCAAAGATTTCCACTCTTTAGAATGGTTTTCTTGTTTTAGAATTCTCTGCAGAGGAAGTGGTATATAAATAGGAATAGAAACAGATGTTTCCTATTGGATATGAATTGGAAAAAAGCATTTGAGATTAAAGAAATGCCTCAGGCAATTACATGAAGAATAAAATCAACAATTCTGAGATGGCAGGAATCCTAGTTACAGTCCAGACTTATGAAATGAATATTGAAAACTGAGGATGTATTACAAAGAGGCCTTTGTTAGAATGGACCCAATTAATTGTAGGCTGTAATGCAAAAAGAATAAATTTGTTGTTTATTCTGTTTATTACTTAGCAACATGGGCATCACCTGAGAACTTGTTAGAAATCCAGACTCTCAGGCCCCACCCCAGATTTAACTATATCAGAGTCTACATTTTAACAAGATCCTCAGGTAATTTCTATTTCATCGGAGGCATATTCATATAGAAAAAATTTAGCCACCCCTCCCCGCTCCCCAAATAAAGAAGAATCCAACTGCCAGGAGGAGAAAGAGGCCTTTGCCTTCCCTCCCTGGTTTGTGTTCCAGTGATTCATCTGCTTTACCCCCCTCTCCACTCTTCTGTTGAGCCAGGGAACAGACCATCTCGGAGGCAAGCCCGTGGAAGGGACTGGCGTCCAGTGTCCTCTTTCCCAGTTATACAATGAGGGCTCCTGATTACTGTGGGAGGTTGCAAAATGGCCAGGCAAAATTCCCTTCTCTTTACAATCTCTTGGAACCCTTCTATCGCACACACACAAAATCCTTCTTACCCAATCTTCATTTCTCCTGTGCTAAAGCATTGACATAAATTAAAAACCCAAAACACATAGCATTGTTCCAAACAACATTCTAAATCCCAAGGCAGGGGTTTCAGACCCAAGTGAAGATCGTTACAATCTGCCCTGGGCCAAATTCACTGTACTGACATACCAACTTCAAAAATGCAGTATAAGTACAGTATTTTGTAAGTCCCCACAGTGTAATGGCCTGATATCCACCTAACTTTTACTGTTACAACACTAGGAGTCTATATATTTATATTGTTAAGTAATTTTTAAATTTGTGTAGTAACATTAATCACCTGCTCTAAAAGTGTGAATAAAAAAGAAAACAGTTCATTGTTATTTGTGTGAAGATTGTGAAGGTGTTGAAGTGGACTTCTGTTTAGTTTGTGTGAAGTGGGAGGACAAGTCACCAGGAAGGAAGGCAAATTCAGTGACATTACAGTAAGGGATGTGTTCCGTCTCCGGAGTCCTGGGACCAACAGTGGTGCCAGTTTCTTTCAGCCAGAAGTATACTTTGGGCCTTGTGTTATTTTGAGTGAAATATTTAAAATATGTGGTTATCCTTTTATAGATGCTTGAAGAAGTCTTCCATAACCTTGAACCTGATGGTACAATGAGTGTAGAAGATTTTTTCTACGGTGTGTTCAAAAATGGAAAATCCCTTACACCATCGGCATCTACTCCATATAGACAACTGAAAAGGCATCTTTCCATGCAGGTAAGAAAGAAATGGGAAGTAGTTTCTTTACAAGTGGAAGTAAAATCCATTTGAATAAATTTTAATGACTTGATTGGTTGTCTGAAGAAAATACTAAGGAGAAAGAAGCAAAAGAAGAATGAGACTAAGACTAAACTGTTGGGAAGGAAAAGTTGGGTTTAGGAAATGACTGTAAATTACAGAGTGGGAAGACCACTAATTATGCCCCTTAATGTTAGCTGAGGAAGAAACCTGGGGTTAAGCAGAGACGCATTTGCTTCTACACCAAGGAACTCTGCACCAGAGCAATTGTTGCTGATAAGCTTTGCATTCTTGGCACACTTGGGGGAAGGAGATCAAAGGGGCTGCACGGCTTTTCTTGTAGCGGCATAAGTTAGAGAAACATGCCTTCTGCTCCCTGTGGCCAGGACTGACCAGTTTTGGTCTTCATCCACATCTTGTTGAAATGCCTGGGCTTCCCGAAGTCTCTTTCTTCTTCCAGTCTTTCGATGAGAGTGGACGACGTACTACAACCCCATCGGCGATGACAAGTACCATTGGCTTTCGGGTCTTCTCCTGCCTGGATGACGGGATGGGCTATGCGTCAGTGGAGAGAATACTTGACACCTGGCAGGAAGAGGGCATTGAGAACAGCCAGGAGATCCTGAAGGTGTGGCAGCAAGAAATGGGAGAAAAATGACAAATCAGGAAGGGGTTGAAAAATTCCAGGTTTTTTTAAAACTGTGATTTGATTTGATTTCTCCTTACTGGTACTTCTACTCACAAAACCTCAGAGATGAGAGGTAATTTTCCCACTTCCTTTAACCAGAAGTCTGTTGCTAACTACTTTCCAGGTTTTTAACCACTAAATTATTGATAAGAGAAAAGCTCTTAACTGATCTCTGGTTGATAAAGATTAGAATTATTCCATTGTGTTTATTTAAAGTACCAGATAGCACTGAATAACCATGTTTCTTTAAATAACCATGCGATGGTTTCCTTAAAAAGAAGTTAGTCATGTTCTGGACTGAAGATTGTTCACTAGCAATCACTAAAGAACTATAATCATCCATCTTCTAGACTATAAACTTAGCTCCCTGGGTTTGGTAGCCTTCACATTCTCTGCTTTCAGTGGATAGAACTCATGATTGTCCTGAACTTGTTCCGATTTCTAGGCCTTGGATTTCAGCCTTGATGGAAACGTCAACCTGACAGAATTGACACTGGCTCTTGAAAATGAACTTTTGGTCACCAAGAATGGCATTCACCAGGCGGCTCTGGCCAGCTTTAAAGCAGAAATCCGGCATTTACTGTGAGTTGGGTGAAAGGTTCACCTGCTTTGATTCATTTCCTTTTATACTCGCCCAGCAAGTCATCCCTTTGCCTGTGACATGCACTCCTTTATTCGATATGCGAATATGGCTAAACTCCCATCATCTCTCTACAGTGAAAATAAGGGAGAGCTTAGATGTGCACGTAGGTTTTTGAAGGGAGCTGTGGAATGTCTTTGTTTTGGAAGGATTTTAGTTGGGTTTTGTGTGTGTATTGAAGTGAGCCAGATGAGAGCTTTTTTGGGCCTACTTGTTGCTTACAAACAGTTTCCCTTCAACTCAGTTTGCTTCTAATTCTAGGGAGCGTGTTGACCAAATGGTCAGAGAAAAAGAGAAGCTACGGTCAGATCTGGACAAAGCCGAGAAGCTCAAGTCTCTAATGGCCTCAGAGGTGGACGATCACCATGCGGCCATAGAGCGGCGGAATGAGTACAACCTCAGGTGCGACTGGTGGGGCCAGGTCCCTCCCTACCCAGCACCCTGGCCCAGGGCAGTGGGGCTCAGCCTGCCTGCCTGCTTGGCTACACCTGGCTGGGGTGACTTAAGTGTGGCTAAACCTAAAGGAAAGCAGGACTTTTCTTAAGTTGCTTCCCACCTCTGTGACTCTATTTCCATATTTGGTGGATCCTCATGGGGATCTCTGAGGGATGTGATGACAGCTTATCAGTCTTTCCTTCTCACAGGAAACTGGATGAAGAGTACAAGGAGCGCATAGCAGCCCTAAAGAATGAACTCCGAAAGGAGCGAGAGCAGATCATGCAACAGGTGGGCAAGCAGCGTTTGGAACTTGAGCAGGAAATTGAGAAGGCAAAAACAGAAGAGAACTACATCCGAGACCGCCTTGCCCTCTCTTTAAAGGTAATCACCCTATCAGTTCTGTGGTCTGTGTCCTGCTGGGGAAACCGCAGCTCTCTTAAGAGGGCAGATTGCACAGGGCTCAGCCCAGGGATAACTGTAAGTTCATCCCGCTTCGCCATGACTCAGACATAGCAGGGCCCCCTTGGGATCTGTATTTCCAGAGTATCCAGGCTTCTGATTGGCTAACAGTGTTGATTAGTATATCTTGTTCCTCTTTGCCCCTGAAGCAGCACTGGGTCCTCAGGGCTGTTTGCCTGGTTGATGCCCCCACCCTTCCCTGCCCTCCCCTCAACCCCTACTCGTAGCAAATGGTTCTTGTCCCCTGCTGCACAGAGCCTATCAGCTTTGCTTCTGTGCTTTCAAATGTGCCTCTTCCCTTATACATCCTTCTCTCCTTTCCTGTGCCCCAAGAGAGGAAGTGATCCTTCTCTTTAATAGACTCTGACACCAGATACTATGGTACAGTGTAGTCTAGAGATAAGCGGAGAGGCCGGGTTCTAGACTCAGACTGCCCGATTCGAATCCTGATACCACTACTTACTGGAAAACCTTGATCAAGTTACTCAAACCCATTTCCTAATATGCAAAATGGGCTCCATCATTATACCTACCCCGTAGCATTGATACGGGGATTAAATGAGATGCTCTACATATATTGTCAGGGAGGTAATGAGTACGTATGGAGTATTCACTATTGTTGAGGTTGTGAAAGCTTCCTGAACTCCACACATCAAAAACTGAGCTAATTCTTGCTCCCTGACCATCAAACTATTTCCTCTCTTCAATTATTTTCCCTATTCTACATCATCACCATGTGCTATAAGTCACAGAAACTAAAACCCTCAACCATCCTCACTCATCAGTCTTCAAGTCTTCTTGATGCTCTGAAATGTTTCTCAGATTTATCCACTTCCTCTCACTTCCACAGGCTCTGAACAGGTTCAGGATTCATCACGATTTCTCAGTGGACTTAATGTGCAGGCTTTCTTCTGTCTGACTCCCTGTGGCCACCAGAGACACTTTACTAAAGAACACTTACAGTCACACTGTTACCCTTCATAAGGTTGCAGTGTGGTAGAACTGGAGGCCCCTAACATGGGGTGTGTCGTACCTTTCTAACCTTAGGAACCACCAGCAACCCCCACTCACCCGGGGTCATGCCCCTAGCCCCATTGCACCAACCATCAGTTCCCTCAGTTCCTTAATAGGCTTTTATGCTCCTTCACTGCTTTTGCCAGTACTGCAGGCCGGATCACTTTGTTTCCATTTCACTTACTTGTTCTTGCCAGAGATAGCATTCTTTTCTGTTGCATTGCAGACAACTGTATTCACATGTGACTCCTTCTCCGTGGTCGGGGCTCTGCACTCCCTGATGTCAGTAACAGAATCGGATTCCGCAGTCTCCAGAGCACCAGCACTGGCCTGATGCTCTGAGATTGCTCCTCCTTGTTTGACATCTAAATGTAGACATATTTTGAAAGGTTAAAGTTGTAGAATTGGCATTTTAGGGGAAGGTAGCATTTTTTCCCTCAGTTTTTAAAAACAATTTTTTATTGTTGTTCAATTATAGTTGTCCCCATTTTTCCCCCTTTACTCTGCTCTGCCCTACCCAACCCCCACCTTCCACATTCAGTTCTCGCCCCCCACCCCAGTTGTTGTTGTCTGTGGGTGCCTTACACATGTTCCTTGACTTGACCCTTCTCCATCTTTCCCCGCTATCCCCTCTCCGCCCTCCCTTCTGGTCACTGTTTGTTCTTTGTTTTCATGTTTCTGGTTCTGTTTTGCTCCCTTGTTTGTTCTGTTGATTAGGTTCCACCTATAGGTGAGATCATAGAAGGTAGTATTTTTTTTAAATGCTTCAGGCACATTCTTTTTTACTCCATATTGCTGTGAGAAGGTGTGGACTAGAATGTATTAAAGTATATTGGCTCTATATTCTTTTGGCAAAATGTACTTTGAAAATACTGTTTTTCCAATCAGCCTTTAACGTTGGCATAGAAAATAGGTCAATGGCACGTCTGCGTGATACTATTTTTTTAACAAATGTGGGTGGAAACCCTTCTAACAAGTATCATAGAGAGAGGGGAGAAAAATATCCTTTGTGGACTTCAACTTAGAATCAAAATAAAATTGTAAATTAAATATAAACCAAACTATAACATCACTAAATAAAAATCGATTTTAGAGTTATTCTACTTTTTATAGTTTTGCCGTCTTCTCCTTTGCTGGCAGCTGAACCAGTTTTCTTTCTGTGATAATGTGTTGAGAATATTTTTTGTGTCATTGAATTTTCTACTGCAGTGCTATAATGTAAGCCATACCTGTCATTTTAGATTTTCAAATAGCCACGTTAAAGGGTAAAAAGAAACAGATGAAATCCATTTAAAATCATTTCATTTAATCTAGTGTTTCCAAAGATTATCATTTTGATATAATCAGCGTACAAAAATTATTATTATTAGGCTGTTTTATGTCTCTGTGTTAAGTCTTAGAAATCTGGTGAGTATTCTACACGTGCAGCATGTCTCAGATGGAGCTGCACACATTTCAAGTGCTCAGTGTCCACAGGGACCGCCAGTGGCTGCACGCTGGACAGCACAGTTCTATAAGATAAAAAAAAAAGAAGAAGAAGGGACAGACTTCTAGATTGTAAGATAAATATCCATTTTTTTAAAGATTTTATTTATTTATTTTTAGAGAGAGAAGGGGGGGGAGAGAGAGAGAGAGAAACGTCAATGTGCGGTTGCTGGGGGTTATGGCCTGCAACTCAGGAATGTACCCTGGCTGGGAATCGAACCTGGGACACTTTGGTTCCCAGCCCGTGCTCAATCCACTGAGCTACGCCAGCCAGAAATATCCATTTTTTAACATTTACTTTTGTCTAATCTGAAGCTTTCAAAGTACACAGATTTTCGGACTAGACCACTGATTCATGCCGCATATAAAATGGTACAACAGTTTGCTTATTTTTTTAATCCCTGCCTATTTAATTTCTCCAAACCAGGAAAACAGTCGTCTAGAAAATGAGCTTCTGGAAAATGCAGAGAAGTTGGCAGAATATGAGAATCTGACCAAAAAACTTCAACTGAATTTGGAAAATGTGTTAGCAGAAAAGGTAAATCTGTTTAAATTTGATTTCCTGACATGCAGCCTGAAGTTCAGTTTACTCAAAAGAGCAGAAGCAGTTCCACCAGGAAATTTTATGTTAAGGATTTATGTAGGTGGTTTTCGAAAGGAAGCAGTCATTTTTGCAGAGATTTCGTGTAAGAGGTTGCGCGTGAGGAAAACATTGCAAGGTACTGAAAAGTGATCCCCGTGTTAGTTGAACATGCCTCTCTAGCATGTTCTTCCCATCATCCAGCTGGTGGTGTTTCTGCTTAAATGTCACATTCCTTTCATATTCAAGAGACTGTGTGAACACCAGAAACTGGGACTTCTGGTATGTACTAGGTCAAAGAAGGGCACTTGGGAAGAATGACAGCTTTCTCCTTTTCCTTTTCTAGTTTGGTGACCTCGATCCCAACAGTGCTGAATTCTTCCTGCAAGAAGAGAGGTTGGCACAGATGAGAAATGAGTATGAGCAGCAGTGCAGGGTGAGTGACCGAAGAGGACTTAGTAAGCGGGGGAGTGCCTGGGCTCACATCCTGCTTTACCATTGACTAGCTGTGTGACCATTAGCAAGCAAGTCACTTAATCTGTGGTATCGCAATTCCTCATCGATAAGAAGGTTAAAAAAATACTAGGGTGTTATGAAGAGTCCATGAGTGACTGAATGTGACATGCTTAGAATAGAGCCTGGAACTTAGTAAGCACTTAACCCAGATGTTAGCTGTCAATATTATTACTTAGCATCTTGAACTATTAGGGAATCATGAACACTGCATTTAAGTCTGCTTTGTCTAAGGCAGAAATTGTTAGTGCTTAGAGGAAAATCTAGTTTTCTTTCGAGGGAAGGAATATGCCGTCATGTTGATTGTGCTTCTTCCAAATTAGCCTTTCCTGGTTGGTCATAAGGGAACTGATATGATGTAATTTGCTTTTGTCCTGTGGGGGTCTTTTCCTGATTACATTGCTTTATTTACAAATGCAAATGAAGCAGAAACCACTCAAATCTTTAGTAAATCATTACAAATTCCTACCAGAAGAGACAAAAAAAATCCTTATATGATTGATAGAAATCTTAGATTTTTTTATCCTCAGGTTAGGTGTTTGAATTTTTTTCTTAAGCCACAAACACTTGTTTATTCTAACAAGGTAAGTATAACTGAGTTCTGACCGCTTTAGATGAACATTGTACTTGTGCAGAAATGAGGAAAACACCTCCTTTTGAGGTGGTTCATTGTCTGCCTTCTCAGGAAATACATATGCCCATCTTGAGTAAAGAAATGAAACATTTATGCTGCTTTACAATTAAGTTTTGGCTCTTGGCTCTAATCAAGTACAGGTTTTTTCTTTGTAGGTCTTCAATTATGTCCTCAGTAAAACTCTGTCAGGTCTACCTCCAAAAATTTCCCAAATCCATCCACTCCTTTTTTTTAATGCTTTTCATAACTATACAGTTCAACCAATTTGAGGAATACAATTCACTGTTTCTCAGTATGTTCACAGAATTGTGCAGCTATTCCCATAATCAATTGTAGAACATTTCACCATCCAAAAAGAAGTGACCGCTCCACTTTGCTCTGGACAACTAATAATCTACTGTCTGTCTTTATAGATTGGCCTATTGTTTACATTTCATATGAATGGAATCCTACAATATGTAGTCCTTGGTATCTGGCTTGGTTCATTTAGCATAAAATTGTCAAGGTCCATCTGTGTTGTAGCATGTGTCGGTACATTTCTGTCCATTGCTAAGTAATACTCCATTATATGACTGTACCACATTTTATTAGTTGATAGATATTTGTGTTGTTTTAAGATTATGAATAACGCTGCTGTGAATATTTGTGTGCAAGTTTTTATGTGGATATACACTTTCATTTCTCTTGGGTATATACCAAGGAATGGAATTGCTGGGTCATATGGTCACTGTATATTTAACTTTTTTAGGGACTGCAAATTTTTTCCAATGGGTTTGCACCATTTTACATTTCCACCAGTATGATAGTTCATTTCTCCATGTCCTTGTCAGTAGTTATTATTGTATGTCTTTTTTATTCTAGCCACCCTGGTGGGTATAAGGTAGTATCTCATTGTGGCTTTGATTTGCATTTCCCTGGTGGCTAATGATGTTGAGTATCTTTTTATTTGCTTCTCAGTATATCTTCTTTGGAGAAATATTTATTTCAATCCTTTGCCTAATATTTAAATGGATTATTTATCTTTTTATTATTGAGCTTTAATAATTCTTTATATAGTCCAGTTATAAGTCCCTTGTCAGGTATATAATTTGCAAAAAACTTTTCTCCCATTCTGTAGATTATTTTACTTTCTTCATGGTATTCTTTGAAGCACAAAAGTTTTTAATTTTGATGATGTTCTATTTATCTATTCTTTGTTTTGTTGCCTGGCATCACATCTAAGATTCACATTGGTTTTTAAACTCCAGGAATTACAAGACCAGGTAGATGAACTCCAGTCTGAGCTGGAAGAATATCGCACACAAGGCAAAGTCTTCAGACTTCCCTTGAAGAACTCACTGTCTGAAGAACTTGATGTTAACAGTGGTTGCCTTGAGCCTGACCAGGGTAAGCCATTCAGACACCTGTCTTCAGAGTGTCTGCCTTTAACTTTCTTTTTAGAACCAAGATTGAATGTGAATTGACAAACTTTATTTTTATGTCCAAGTAGTATTCCACTGTGTAAATGTGCTGCATCTTTTTGATCCACTCATCTACTGATGGACATTTAGACAGCTTCCAAATTGTGGCTATTGTAAATAATGCTGCAGTGGACGTAGGAAAGCATATATTCTTTCAAATTTGTATTTCAGTATTCTTTGGTTATAATCCTGGAAGTGGAATCACTGGGTCATAATGCAGTTCAATTATTAGTTTTTAGAGGAAACTCCATACTGTTTTCCACAGTAGCTGCACTAATCTTCATTCCCACCAATATTGCACAGGGGATGCTTTTTCTGCACACCATTGCCAACACTTGTTGTTTGTTGAATTTTTTTTTTAAATTTTGTTTTCTATTGTTGACATTATTATAGATATCCCCTACTTCTCCCCTTTTCTACCCACCTTCACTACATTGTTGTCCGTGTCTGTCTGTATTCACTCTGTATGCATTTTGCTGATAGATTTATTATAAATTGGATTTTATCAAATGCTTTTACTGCATCTGTTGATATGATCATGTGATTTTTATCCTTCATTTTGTTTATGTGGTATATGTCACATTTATTAATTTGTGGATATTGTATCAACTTTACATTCCCAGAATAAATCCTACTTGATCATGGTATATGATCTTTTTAATGTATTGCTGGATCCAGTTTGCTTATATTTTTTGAGGGGTTTAGCATCTATATTCATCAGGGATAGTGGCTTATAATTTTCTTTCTTTGTAGTGCCTTTATCTGGTTTTGGAATTAGGATAATGCTGGCCTCATAAAATGAGGCCCTCTTCTTGAATGGTTTTGAAATAGTTTGAGAAGGACAGGTGTTAGTTCTTTGACTGGTAAAATTCACCTGTAATGCCATCCCGTCTAGGTCTTTTGTTGGGAGTTTTTTTATTAGTTTTAATTTCACTAGTTGCAATCTGTCTATTCAGACTTTCTGATTCTTTCTGATTCAGTTTTGGAAAATTGTGTGTTCTAGGAATTTCTCCATTTCATTCAGATTGTCCAGTTTGTATGCATAGAGTTGTTTGTAACATTCTCCTACAGTCCCTTGTGTTTCTGTGGTGTCAGCTATTACTTCCTCTCCTTCATTTCTGATTTTATTTATTTGGATCCTTTCTCTTTAGTTCTTGATGAGTCTAGTTAAAGGCTTGTTAATTTTTTTATCTTTTCAAAGAACCAGCTCTTGGTTTCATTGATCTTTTGGATTATTTTTTATACTTTATTTCATGTATTTTGGCTCTACTCTGTATTAGTTCCTTTCTTCTGCTCACTTTGGGCTTTGTTTATTATTCTTTTTCTAGTACCTTGAAGTGTAAAGTTAGATGGTTTATTTGAGATTTTTGTTGTTTCTTGAGGTAGGCCTGTAATTATGAATTTCCCTTTTAGGACTGCTTTCACTGTGTCCCATAGATTTGAGGTGGTTGTATTCTCATTTTCATTTGTTCAAGGTATCTTTTCATTTCTTCCTTAATCTTATTCATTGTTTAGTAATGTGTTATTTAGCCTCCATGTCTTTGTGTGTGTTTCAGTTTTTTCTTGTGATTGATTTCTAGTTTCATACCATTATGGTCAGAGAAGATGCTTGGTACGATTTCAATCCTAAATTTATTGAGATTTATTTTGTGTCTTAACATATGGTCTGTTGTAGAAAATGTTCCATGGGTGCTTGAAAAGAATATATATTCTGCTTTGGAGTGAAATGCCTTGAAGATATGAATTAAATCCATCTGATCTAGTGTGTCATTTAAGGCCTCTGTCTCCTTGTTGATTTTCTGTCTGGAAGATCTATCCATTCATGTAAATTGGGTGTTAAAATCCCCTACTATGATTGTATTACTGTCACTCTCTCCCTTTATGTCTATCAAGATTTATTTTCTATATTTAGGTGCTCCTGTGTTGAATGCATAGATATTTATAAGGATTATATCTTCTTGTTGGATTGCTCCCTTTATTATGTAGTATCCTTCTTTGTCTCTTACAATAGCTTTTGGGTTCATTTTTGTTTTTTTTAATATATTTTATTGATTATGCTATTACAGTTGTCCCATTTCCCCCCTTCACCCCCCTCCACCCTGTACACCCTCTCCCCTCCTTCCCCCTCTTTAGTTCATGTCCATGTGTCATACTTATAAGTTCTTCAGCTTCTACATTTCCCATACTATTCTTACTCTCCCCCTATCTATTTTCAACCTACATTCTATGCTACTTATTCTCTGTACCTTTTCCCCCTCTCTCCTCCTCCCACTCCCCCTGTTGCTAACCCTCCATGTGATCTCCATTTCTGTGGTTCTGTTCCTGTTCTAGTTGTTTGCTTAGTTTCTTTTGGTTTTGCTTTAGGTGTGGTTGTTAATATTGTGAGTTTGCTGTCCTTTTACTATACATGTTTTTTCTTTATCTTCTTTTCTTAGATAAGTACCTTTAACATTTCATAAAATAAGGGCTTGGTGATGATGAACTCCTTTAACTTGACCTTATCAAGTTAAGGTGCTATGAGAAGCACTTTATCTGCCCTTCCATTCTAAACGAAAGCTTTGCTGGATAGAGTAATCTGGGATATAGGTCCTTGTCTTTCATGACTTGGAATACTTCTTTCCAGCTCCTTCTTGCCTGTAAGGTCTCCTTTGAGAAATCAGCTGACAGTCTGATGGGAACTCCTTTGTAGATTACTGTCCCCTTATCTCTTGCTGCTTCTAGGATTCTCTCCTTCATTTTCACCTTGGCTAATGTAATTATGATGTGCCTTGGTGTGTTTCTTCTTGGGTCCAACTTCTTTGGGACTCTCTGAGCTTCCTGGAAGTCTATTTCCTTTGCTAAAATGGAGAAGTTCTCCTTTATTATTTGTTCAGATATGTGTTGAATCTGTTGCTTTTCCTCTTCCCCTTCTGGTACCCCTATAATTCGGATTTTGGAACGTTTAAAGATGTTCTGGAGGTTCTTAAGCTTCTTCTTTTTTTTTTTTTGAATTCTTATTTCTCCATTCTTTCCTGTTTGGTTGTTTCTTTCTTCCTTCTGGTCCACTCTGTTATTTTGAGTCCCAGTTTCCTTCCCATCACTATTGGTTCCCTGTGCATTTTCCTTCATTTCTTTTATGGTGACCTGCATTTGTTCATCTAATTTGCGACCAAAATCAACCAATTCTGTGAACTTCCTGATCACCAGTGTTTTGAACTGTGCATCTAATAGGTTAGCTATCTCTTAGTCGCTCAAAAGGATGAGTTCTGGGGCACTGATTTGTTTTTCTGTTTGAGCCATCTTGCTCTCTCTCTCTCTTTTTTTTCTGGGGGGGGGGGGGTCTGGTCACTCCTGTTACGGTGAGGGGCAGAGCCTTAGGTGTTCACTGGGGCTGGGCACCCCAGTGGCTGTGGCTAGATTGTGACATTGTATGTGGGGGTGGGGTCGAGAGGGAACAATGGTGGTAGCTCTGTTCTCCATGGGACCTTAGTCCCCCCCCTGGGATCCTTGGTTGCGCGCTCTGCCCTGCTCCACAATTGCCACCTCACTGGGTCTGCCAGCTGCAGCTTGCGTACTCAGGGTCCACCCGCTGCGATCTTGTGCGCCCCAGATGCCTTACGCGTTCCCGGTTGCCTTATGCACCCAATTCTCCCTGTTCTCTGTGCCGCAAATCGCACCCAACCCACGCCTGGCTACTTGTCTCTGCCCCTCCTACTGGTCTGGATAAACGGGTCTATTTCAACTTCTTGGCTGTCCGACTTCCATTCAGATAAATTTTCTGTCAGTTCTGGGTGTTATTCTGCCTCTAAATTGTTGTTGTTCCAATCTTGGTTGTGCGTGGAGGTACGGTGGGTCCACCTATGCCTCCATCTTGCTGGAAGTCCCCACAATAGCTTTTGTTTTAAAGTCTATGTTGCTATCCTAGCTTTTTTTGCATTTCCATTTTCATGAAATATCTTTTCCATCCCTTTCTTTTAGTCTGTGTTCATCTTTTATTCTGAGGCTTGTCTCTTGTGGACGGCATATATGGGTCTTGTTTTCTTATCCATTCAGCTACCCTATGTCTTTTGATTAGAGCATTTAAACCATTTACATTTAAGGTGATTATTAATAGGTACATATTTATTACCATTTTATTTTTTTATAACTACGTTCCTCTCTCCTCCTCCTCCTTCTTCTCTTTCTCCTCCTCCCTTTAACATTTCTTGTAATACTGGTTTGGTGGTAATGAACTCCTTCAACTTTTTCTTCTCTAGGAAGCACTTTATTTCTTCTTCAATTTTCAGTTATAGCTGTGGTAGGTAAAGTAGTCTGTTGTAGGTCCTGGCTTTTCATCACTTCGAATATTTCATGCCAGTCCCTTCTCACCTGAAATGTTTCTGTTGAGAAATCAGCTGACAGTCTTATGTGAGCTCCCTTGCAGGTAGTTGTTTTTCTCTTGCTGCTTTTAAGATTTCTTCTTTGTGTGGAGGGGCGTGTTCCACCCAAGAAAGATGGTGTCTGCAGTGTGAGAGAAAGACTCAGTACAGGGATCCTGGCAGCTGTCCCATTAGCTCTTCTTCCCAAAGCCACAAATCCCAGTCTTTCCTCACACGGCTCTAGTTCACTCCACCCTCCCTCTGCCAGAACTCAGGTTGAATGGTTACAAATGAGATTTTATGCATTGGCTCTTTAAGAGGGTGCCTGTGTCTCTAGCAGACCTCTAGAGTCTGCTAGACTCTACATTTAAGCTAGACTCCTGTTTCCTTGCCAGACAGAATCCTTTTTGTTCTTTACAGCCAGATGTTATGTAGGAGCCTCTTGCAGCTCTGGTGCTCTGGGCTGGGGAGCTTGGCATGGGGATGAGACCCCATGCTCCTCAGGGGGAACATTTTCAGCTGAACTATCCTCCCAGAATTTCAGCCACCACCCACGGGAGCAGAGCCAGCCCTTTTCACATCTCTGCCCTTCCTATCAGTCTCAACGTGGCTTCCTCTATAAATCCTTGGTTATAAGACTTTTTTCAGCGAGTCTTCAATAGGTTATTCAGGTTGATTGTTGTGTATTTCAGTTTTAATTCCAGTTTGGTCCTGGGAGCAAGTGAGTGTACCTTCCATCTACTCTACCGCCATCTTGGATATCTGCCCCTAGCTAATTTGTTACAGAGTTTGTTGGATGGACAGAAGGCTGGTTGATCTGAGTAAACTACTTCAGTCCACAGCATTTTTTTTAGGAGGTGATCACATTTAAGCAGCAATTTCCACATCTACCCCCCACCTACTGTTCAAAAAGATGGATTGTGTAAGGTTTGGTGCACTGAGTATATATGACAAAATCTATTCACCTTCATTTTTGCCTTGTTTTCCCTGATGCTCAAAAACAGAAAAGACTGCTCTTGACTTCTACCGTTTCCTAGTAGATCTCATCTGTGGCAATCTGGGCTGAAATTATTCCTGTGTTAAGTGGATGTCCCCCCTCAGATGCCAGTTGTGTTACTGAAAGATCAGGATCAACAGATCTCATGTATTTTCAGGGCTTGGTTCTGAAGAATGCAATCCATTGAACATGAGCATCGAGGCAGAGCTGGTCATCGAACAGATGAAAGAACATCATCACAGGGACTTGTGTCACCTACGGCTGGAGCTTGAAGATAAAGTAAGTACTCCTTACCAGTCTTGCTCTCCAGTTTCTTTGAGTTCTAACAAGCTTTTGCATGTAGTACATTCTTAACTCTTTGTTCTCATAGTGTAGCACTTTCTGTAAATTTTCTCTTGTCTTGGTGGCTACCAGGAACCCAGTTTTTCAGCATGGTTTCATAGGCCATACATGAGACCTTTTCCTCAGAGAGTTTCTCCAAAATGTAATAGAACTTGAAGGCCATTGCATTATTTCCAACTTGTTAAAACAATGTCTTGATAAAACAAACAAACAAAAAGCCTTAAGATGTATAACATTACATTTTAATTAGATACAAGTTCTAAATGTCGGCCTCCAAAACCCTTTCTTAACCTTGTCATTTTAACTTATTTTTTCATTTTTTCTCTTATACCATTCCCTTGAGTTACTTTATTCTCTGGTCAGACCAGGTAGCTTGCTGTTTTTCATCATTGTGAGCTTTTGCTCATGCTATTACATGCTGTGTTATTTCTTTCTATCTTTTGAAAGACTAGTCTTCAGAGTTTATATCAAATGTTACCTCTTGCATAAACCCAGTCCTAAATTTCCCCCACCAAAGATGATTTTTCCCTTCTTTGATTCTTCTGTTTACTTTATAGCTCCTTTTTTCTCTACCTTAATATTATTTTATTCTGCTTTGTAGTATACTTGTTCGTATTTGTCATAACCACTTCTAGACTGGTTTCTCTTTGATGACAGGGACTTTGTCTTACCCAACTTTGTGTCCCCGCAAGGCTCTCAGAATGCCTGATAGGTGTTTAATAAATATATGAATTTAACTATGTTAAACCCCTAAGTTTGCAGTTAGAACAGATGCCTAAGAAGACAAATGGCATCAATGTAAAGGTCTGGTCAGTTTGAATAAAGTTGTTGAGAAACAAATAAAATTCAACGAAGTTAAAATAAAAGGAAAGCACACCATGACCAATTTAAATGTATGTTATTTAATGTGTTTTTGAATTGCTACTGTAAAACAAAATTGCAAAACTGAAGAATGTCTTGTCGGAAAAAAACAGTACTTCTGCCCCCAGCACACTGCCGTAGCCTTGAGTTGAATAACACTGTGGTGGTTTTGCTTTCTGACTTAAGGTGCAGCAGTATGAGAAGCAGCTAGAGGAAACCAAGGTCGCCTGTGAAAAGGAGCAGGAGAACATGAAGCAAAAACATGAGAATGAAGTGCACATCTTGGAAAAACAAATAAGTGACCTTAAAAATGAAATTGCAGAACTTCAGGGCCAGGCAGTGGTGCTCCAGGAGGCTCAACACATGACTAACTGCAGGCACGAGGAGGAGAAGAAACAACTGCAGATGAAGTGGGATGAGGAGAAGACTCTTCTGCAGGAGAAGCTGAGGCTGGAACATGAAGCGGCACTTAAGGACAGGCTGGAGCAGTCGGAGGAGAGCTTTCACCGAGAGAGGGAACGACTTCTCCAAGATGGCGCCTGGACAGAAGAGAAGGTGAGGGGCTTGACTCAGGAACTAGAGCAACTTCACCAGGAGCAGCTGAAAAGCCTGGTGGAGAAGCACACTCTTGAGAAAGAGGAGTTGCGCAAAGAGCTCTTGGAAAAACACCAAAGGGACCTTCAAGAGGGAAGGTAAGAAAAATGGGAGAAATGGAGCAACCTGGGGTGCTGTCCGTCACAGGCATCAGCAGTTCCAGTCAGTTAAGGACATCTGGATGAATCAGAAGGCATAATAGGCCCTTAGTTCCTGTCTAGTCTTTCAAGCTGTTTTGCCATTGTTCAGACATGAGCCTACCTTGGGGTTATCGAAACTGTTTTTCTTTTAAAAGAGGAAAGTATGCCTTACATCAGACTTGTATCTTTTAAGGTCACAGATGAGGATAAGGTTATTGCAAATGTGGCTCCTTCCTAGTTAAGTCTTGTTGTCTTCTGAAAAAGGCTATAAACTAGATTCTGGGCAAAGTTCCATTTTTCCCCAGAGTTATGGAACACTGCTTTTGTGCTTACCTTACTACTGTATTTTTTGGACCATAAGATGCACCTAGGTTTTAGAGGGGGAAAATAGGAAAAAAAAATTGAAACAAAAAAATGTGATACAATATTTAATAACATAAATAACATAATATTTCACCAATATAAATGGCAACAGAACTCAACAGCAGCATTAACAACCATTATTCCTCCCACATTGGGGGTGGGGGTATGTCTTATAGTCCAAAAAATACGGGTAATATGAAATCTCAGGTACATATGAGAGCTTTGGTGCTTCATACTCTGATGACCTCAATGCTACTTCATTAAATAAGAGGCAAAAATATAATGAATTTAATATGTGTGGTTTACATGATTATTCTTCTCCAATGTATACTTAAGTAAAAGGAAACATTTTTTATATTTCCCAAGTTGTGGGAATATGAATGCATTTGATCATTTACCATGAAATACCAGTTTAAGTTTTTGGTTAAATATCCAAAAACAAATACATTCAGGAGAATGCCAAAGAATTTTTTTTCCTAAATTTTCCTTCTAAATGCAGAATGAAGTCTTTTAAATGAATTATAGCTGCTGGTCCTGGCTCTCAGTAATGAGATGCCTTCTCAGTATAAAAGAATCACAGAGGGATAAGTGAAAACTATTTTTAGAAAGTATTTAAATTGTTTGCTTGGCGGCTTCTTCTGTGCATGGGAAATGTTTTTTGTTTTTTTTTTGCTTCCATAGTCAATGGCAGTTTTAGTAATGCTGTATGTTGACCACATTTAGGGAAAAAATGGAAACTGAGTGTAATAGAAGAACCTGTCAGATAGAAGCCCAGTTTCAGGCTGATTGTCAGAAAGTCACTGAGAGATGTGAAAGTGCTCTGCAAAGCCTGGAGAGGCACTACCACCAAGAGCTGAAGGAGCTCCTGGAACAACAGTGCGAGGAGAGATCTCAGTGGGAGTTTGAGAAGGATGAGCTCACCCAGGAGTGTGCAGAAGCCCAGGAGCAGCTGAAAGAGACTCTCCAAAGAGAGAAGGCATCTTCCCTGGCCTTGACCCAGGAGAGAGAGATGCTGGAGAAAACATACAAAGAACACTTAAATAGTATGGTTGTCGAGAGAGAGCAGCTACTCAAAGACCTGGAAGATCTAAGAACTGTGTCTGAAAGTCAGCAAAGCCTCCTGTCCAGCCAGATACATGAACTGCAAAGCAGTCATGAAAGAGAGCTGCAGAACCGCGAGCAGGTCCTGTGCCAGGCAGGCGTCTCCGAGCAGCTTGCCAACCAGCGGCTTGAAAGGCTAGAAATGGAACGTGACCAGGAGAGGCAGGAAATGATGTCCAAGCTTCTGGCCATGGAGAGCATCCACAAAGTGACCTGTGAGAATGCAGAACGAGAGAGAGCTGAGATGAGTGCAGAAATCTCCCGGCTTCAGAATAGAATTAAGGAAATGCAGCAGGTGGCATCTCCTCCCTCCAGGCTTCAGAATGGCTGCCAGGAGATGGGAGAGGAGGAGGCAGAAGGAAGTGGAGCCATGTCTCTGCTCCAGCAGGGAGAGCAGCTGTTGGAAGAGAACGGAGATGTCCTCTTAAGCCTGCAGAGAGCTCACGAACAAGCAGTGAAGGAAAATGTGAAAATGGCTACTGAAATTTCTAGACTGCAACAGAGATTGCAAAAGTTAGAGCCAGGGTCAGTAATGTCATCTTGTTTGGAGGAGCCAACTACTGGACTTTTTGGAAAGTCTGTGGAACAAACAGAGCCATTTTTACTGCAGAACAGAATGAAGCAAGTAGAAAGTGTAACCAGGCAGCACATCCCAAGTGACCTGCAAGACAATGAGGTCCAGGATCTGGGCAGCACTGGAACAAGCTCTGTTCAGAGACAGGAGGTCAAAATAGAGGAGTCTGAAGCATCCATAGAGAGTTTTTCTGAACTTGAAACCAGTGAGGAGACCAGGACTGAGACCTGGGACCTGAAGAATCAGATTTGTCAACTTCAGGAACAACTAATAATCTTACGTGCAGACTGTGATCGAGCTTCTGAAAAGAAACAGGACCTACTTTTTGATGTTTCTGTGCTAAAAAAGAAACTAAGTATGCTTGAGAGAATCCCTGAAGCTTCTTCCAAGTATAAATTGTTATACGAAGATGCTAGTAGAGAAAATGACTGTCTCCAGGAAGAGCTGAGAGTGTTGGAGACGCAGTACGATGAAGCCCTAGAAAACAACAAAGAACTCACTTCAGAAGTTTTCAGATTACAGGATGAGCTGAAGAAAGTGGAAGAAATGACTGAAACATTTCTTAGCCTGGAAAAGAGTTATGATGAGGTCAAAAGAGAAAATGAGAACCTGCATGTGGTTGTTTTAAGACTTCAAGGCAAGATTGAGACGCTGCAAGAAAGAGCAGTGCTACAGTGTGACTGCTTCTCCTTCTGGGAAGCCCGTTTAAAGAGCCTGGACTGCAAAGCTGGTGGGAAGGTACTTGAACTAAGTCAGACACTGGGAGAGTGTGTGCCAAAGGTTATGAATGTACACCAGGTTATAGAAGAACATTATCAAGAAAACCGGTACCTCGAGCAGAAGAATACACAGATTTTAGAAAAAATAAAAGCACATGAAATTGCCTGGCTGCGCAGAACAATCCGGACGCATGGAGAAAAGCCTGGAGAACAGAATCAAGTCATATTAGAGGAAAACACTGCTCTCCTAGGCCTTCAAGACAAACATTTTCAGCGTCAGGCCATGATAGCAGAGTTAGAACTGGAGAAACAAAAGCTGCAGGAGCTGACTAGAAAGTTGAGGGAGAAAGTCACTAATTTAATTAAACAAAAAGATGTACCTTCTCAAGGAGGAAAGGAGGAAGAGTTGAAGGCAATGATGCATGACTTGCAAATCACGTGCAGTGAGATGCAGCAGAAAGTTGAACTGCTGAGGTAATGTATGTAACTTCCACACCTCACAGAACCCCACAGAGCACCTCGCCAACTCTAACTTCTGCTGCTTGCTGTACCTAGAGAAACTAACCTGTTAGTCTTCAAGAAGAGAGCAGTATTTTAGACTTCCTTCTGCTTCTGTGTCGTATTAACAAATAGAATAACCTTGCCTAGGAGGCATTCCCTTCCTCTGTAGGAAATAAATGTCATTCACTTGGGGTGTGAAAGTTAGTAATGGAGAGTGCTGTTTAACCGCAAGCATCATCACTGTGTGTCATGTCTTTTAACCCTTTTCTAGCACTTCATTTGGACAGATAGATTTTTTTGTTGTTAAATGTTGTTTTCCTTATTTTGATGAAAACATGTTACATGAGAATGAATGCCTTTTGTATATTATTAACTTGCTTGGTAGATAACTCTCTTCTTATACTAATATAGGATACATGTGTTTTGTAGCTTATACATGCTAATATCCTGTAGACAATAGAACTTTATCTTAGAACATATAATTTTATTGAGGAGCTATCAGATTCTATGAAATGCACTTGAAAATAAAGACAGAAATGACACTGCTTGAACCACTGGTTACTTGACTTTATAAAATGTGATTGCAGTAGTCTTCTTGCAAATTTGGATTTTAAAACACTTTGTAAAATATTATACCATGTCTGAAATATCTTAATGACATGAGACAAAATAATTTAATTCTGGATATAGGTTTTCCTTTTTTTACTTCAGATGATTTTCAGTTCTAAAAAACAGAATATAATGGAATGAAAAAAATCACAAAGTAAACATTAGTGTGTATATTTCAGTATGGCCCTTTTATTCACATAGTGAATTTTCTTTGTCTAGGTACCCTGGGGCCTAAAACTAAAGCTAAGACATGGTTTATGCCTGTTTGAAGCAGGTAGGACTTGAGACTGAGATAAAGTTATTTGCTCAAAGCAGCATTGTTGCCATGGAGAAAATCAGCAACCAGAGTGGGCATTGCTCTCCATTCTGTCTCCGTGTTCAGGCATTTTAGCCACGCTTCCCTAATGTCTTTGAGTGAAATCCTTACTTCCCATGAGAAATGAGTCAATATGTCACAGCTCGAATTCTAAGAACTAAGAGACTACTAATTTAGACTTCTCGTTTTAACTGGCATGGAATACTTGTTTCATTGGAAATTACTAGAAAGAATTTTCCAAAGATGCCAGATGACTGCCTTGTTGTAACTAGTTTTTTTTTTCAAATCTCTGTACTTCAGATATGAATCTGAGAGGCTTCAAGAGGAAAATTCTATTTTGAGAAGTGAAATTACTACTCTAAATGAAGAAGATAGCATTTCTAACCTGCAATTGGAGAAATTAAATGGATCTCAGGAAGAAATGTGGTAAGACATATACTTAAATTTTCTTAAGGCATTTTTACAAGGACTAAAACTATTTTACCTCAACTTCTAAAGCCTAACTCTTAAGTTATATTTTCATTGTCCCTTCAGGCAAAATATAGAAACTGTAAAACAGGAAAAAGCCACAGTTCAGAAGATGGTTGAAAATTTAAAGAAACAGGTAAAGAGATGCTTAATATTTCCCAGTGCTTCTTGAGTCTGAAATTTTCCTTTTTTTAATTGAAATTTACAAATGTATGCTATTGACATGCTATTGAAATAACTTACATAGCTAGTGGTGGTAAGGTTGTAAAGCCAGCATTTCAATGTATAAACTCACCTCATGCTGACTTTAAACTAGGTTTTTGGGTTTTGTGAGTAGGTGAATTTTTTGTGTCTAGAAACTAGGTTTCTGGTTTTTGTGGGTATAATAATGTATTATTATTTCTTGACTCAGTGCTTAATACAAGCTTTGTATCAGTGGGAATGCGTAGGTGGTAGCTGTAAAACCAAACCTATGTAGTACTAGATCTATCCACCCTGTCGTTTTGACCATTAGCTCCATCCTGTTTTCTCACCATGATTGAGGGCAGAAAGTTAAGGACAAAATTTCAAAGATACCAAATACCAGTTAATCAGTATATCTTTTCACAGATCTTTACGATTTGTTCAGATAGCTTGTGACATTCAGTACCTAATTTATATAATCTCAAAACATGCAGTTGTGTAGGGGAAGATCATTTATAAATCTGTCTGAAACAGTCAAAAGGCAAAGACATCCTGGAAAAAGAGTACTTGAAATAGACACGGTGTTAACATCTAAAGTGTATTTTGTGCACTCACAAATGGCAAAACTCAATTGAAAAGTGAATAATTGATATGAATGGTCAAGTCACAGAAAAAAGAATACAATCAATAAAAAGATGGTTAGCCTCGTTAGTGATTAGGGAAGTGCAAATTAAATGAGTTTTCTTTTTTACCTGTCAAATTAGCAAAAATTAGAGAGGGATATCATCAAGTGTAAAAGAGGTAGTGAGGAAGTTAAGGCTCTCATACCTTGCTGACAGGACTATAAGTTGGTAGCACCGTAAGGAAGATATTTTGAGGATATCTACAAAAGTAGTAATGTACATTCATGCCTTCTAACCCAGCAGCACCACTAAAAAAAATCCTAAATACAAAATGCTACCATGTGTAAATGAATTTTATAAAGGATTGTTTTGTTTCTTCATAATTAAAATTCATTGCATTATGCAATGTCTTGATGCATAGAATATTTGACAGCCACTAAAAAATATAGCATGTGGTAATTTCTGAATGCACTGACTTGGAAGATAAGAGTCTATAAGATATGATAAGTAGGGAAAAAAACAGGCTGTCCTAACATCTGAAAAGATTCCAATTTTTATTATAAAGAAGAAAAAAATCTCTGTGTGTGCATGGGTTTTGTGTGTGCATAGAAAACCATCTACAGTGAGATACGAGTCCAGCTGTGCACAATGGCTACCCACGTGGAGTGGGATTGGACTGAGTATATATCACTTCTTCAGACACTTCTGAATTGACTGAATTTGTAACAATTACTCTGTGTTATTTCTGTTATTAAGTGTGTGTGTAACTTTATCCACATAGCGAGGAAACAGAACAATTAGTCTCTGAATCTGTTTTTTTTAGCAGAAGTAGGGTAACTAGTTTTTTAAACTTATCTCAATTTTAATTAGATTTCAGAATTAGAAACCAAAAACCAACAGTTGGATTTGGAAAATACGGAACTTAGCCAAAAGAATTCTCAAAGTCAGAAAGAACTGCGAGAACTTAAGCAACGTCTGGCAGAAGTGCTGTGCCAGAAGGAGAAGGTGCCAGAACACAGCACATTCGGGAACTGTGAAGAAGAAAAGTCCAATCTGCAAGAGGAGCTGGAACACCGTGAAGTGCAGGTCTGGTCTGCAGCCACCATACGGCCTTTTTGGAGGGAATCCCAAGAAATAAATGCTTATGTTAAATTTCTTGTGCCTAAAGTCTTAATAATTAAAACTGTGGTACTGGCGTATGAATAGACAGAGATGTAGATGTGTGTACACTGATGGAGCGCCCAGATCCTGGTTTCTAAACACCTTTCTCCTATAAAAGGAACCCAGGCTCCTTGGAAAAATGATTGATTCCAAGGCCGGGACAGAGAACATTCAAGAAGAGCCTGGAATATTTCATGGTGCCAGAAAGAAAAAAGGGCTCAAGAAAGATTGGGCACGTTGTGGCCAAAGGTGGAACAATTTCATCAACAAAGTAAATAATCATAGTATAACATAAAATAAATATCATTACAAATGTAGGATGAAACAAATATCTATAGGCCCATACCTATATAAAAAACTGGGTAAGTAAATAAAGGGGGGAAAAACACTTCCCCCCTTTACAGTAGAATTCCAATTAATAAATGTAGAAAGGAAGAAATAGAAAATTACGACAAGGCTAACATCAGAGTAATAATTATTGCAGACAGAATCTACTGATAGACACCAAAATTAATAAGCAAAAGTTTAAGAACAAACACAGTTTACACAGCCTCAAAGTACGTCCCCCAAGAGAAAGTTTGCTCTGTGGAGAAACTTGCAGAAACTACCCTAGAAATTATGTTCATGCCATTTAAGAGGAAAGTCTTTGAAAAGATAGTTTTAGATAGTTCCTTCGAGAATGAGGATGAATGGTCATAAAACAGTGTGTCATTGAATTTGTACTAGTACGTCCTTAATACTGCCTTTTGTGACCCTACTGAGTTTCCACAGAGTAAATGAATGTGTACATTATTTCACTTTTTAATTTTTTTCTAGTCCTCCACTTTAGTATCTTCTCTGGAAGCAGAACTTTCTGAAGTTAAAATACAGACTCATATTGTGGAACAAGAAAACCTCCTTCTCAAAGACGAACTGGAGAAAATGAAACAAGTAAGACTATCTGCTGCTTAGGAGGGGTCAAAGGGAAGGGGACTCACAGAACAATACGCACCTGATGGTCTTCTGGCTTTTCTGCCACGAATGTCCCTTTTACTGAATCATGGCAACTAGCATATTGCTTAGTCAAGTTGAGGATTTAAAGTGAAAATCTATTTGTAAGAGTTACTATTGCTAAATCTCTAAATGTTGCTCTAGTTTGTAATTTACATATGTTATAGACTGAATTTCTGTTGCTATAAATGAATCATAACCACTTCAGTTTAAGAAATTTATTCTACTTTTTCCAAACCAGGTGGAAAAGTGGTATGTTTGTCAAAAAAAAAAAGATCACTTTGGCTTATAACTTTAATAACTGTTCACCTAGATTCATGAAGACACAGGTGAAGCTGGTCCTTCTTTTCCTTTTTTCTTATAGCATGTATGAGGCATCTAAGACATAAGGGTGAATTCTAGAGTACTATCAGGGTTGCAGTCTCACAAATCTGCCTTTCAGAAGCCTATTTCAAAGTTTCAAAGACTTAATTTTAAGTACAAAACAGGGTTTGTCTTAAAGTTATGTCCTGGACATTGTCCTATTCTATTCTTTATTCTGAACTTTTCAATGAGCACAGGGATCTTTCTGTTTGAAAGAATTTAGTTCATTTTATTTAATGATCCTTTATTTAATAATCCTTTAGTGAATTTGCTTCACTAAAGGATTATTTTAATAGTATAATATGTTTTTAGACGATGAAATTCCCTCTCTTGTATCTGTTCAGCCTATGAGCATAAAAGTGTCCTTCCCAGAATGCTGAAATATTGAGTTTCTACCACCGAGTGTTATGTTCGTGTCAACCTCAAGTTCGCTCCTGTCAGTCTTAATTTCCTAATAGGATTCTAAGACTCTCAGGGAATTTGTGTCTGTCATAATGTTTAGTACAGTACTGGTTCCTAATGGGTGCTTTAATAGAACCTTTTCAAGTCAGATGCTACTGTGCAGAGTATATCTCTTCTGCCGTAACAGAAGCTGCCTGTCCATGCAAACACTGCAGAAGTTAAAACTCACAGGGCCCTTTTCTGGTGGATAAGTGTTCCAAAGCTGTTACTACCACTTCATGGTAATGAACTTGGGCACATTTTCCTTCTTTACCCTTTGAAAATCTGCATGTTGTTCAGCCTTTAAGATGATGATGATCATTCCAAATCCATAGCATGGAACACATGTGCCGGGCATGTTTGCTAAGCTAGCAATCAGAAGAGAAGGGGCAGAACACACTGAGGAAGGTCATCATTTGGCACATTTTTATTGCATATTTTTTAGAGTGGCATTGATGTAAATTGTGGCAGGAAGTTGCTTCATGGCATTCTTTTGGATCACAACAGTGGAATGGTGTTAGCTCATTATCCCTGCCATACAGCTGGGATCTACAAAGCATGGGCTGCTCTATATGACCTAATAACCCCTCGTTCACAAAACATTTTATCATCTGTTACATTGAAAAGAAACACGAATGGCATTAGCAGAAGTCACACGCCAGTTTGTAGACACCTAAAATGATACCAGGCTTTGTGAGGGTCTGGTAGTGGGGAGGCAAGGTAGTGAGCAAAGGAGAGGTCCTTCAGAAACCAATGCCCGGGTACTTTAAAATACATCTCCCTACATCCTTCTCAGTTGTTTAGATTTGTAAGGTATGCTAGATTTGTTGCTGGTTGAAGACAAGATTCAACCCTTAAAGGCTATTTTGTCATACTATTACTAAGCTAAATGTAAAAAAACTTCAGGTAGGCAGTAGAAAGATGGCCATACAATCATAATGATAATAAAAAATTGAAAATTTGAAAGCCAAGTGAATTGGAGGGAAATTAAAATTGTATGCACCATGGAAAAGAGTTAAGAAGTGTAGGAAACAGTCAGTCTCTTTAAAGCAGTAGTTAGAGGGAGGTGGGGGTTGCTCCCCAACCCTGGGACATTTAGCAATGTTGGGGATGTTTTTGGTTTTTATAACTGGTGTGCGGGGAAGGGGAGGGGTGCTGCTGGAATCTAATTGGTAAAGCCAGACATGCTGCCAACCACCCTACAGTGTGCAGGCCAGAACCCACAGCAAAGAGTTATTGGCCCCAAGTGTCAATAGTGCTAAGGTTGATGCTGAAAAGAAACAAAAAAATGTCTTTAGTTTGTCCTGATTCCATAAAGGGAGAAGAGGAAGCCATTGTGTCTACCCCAGCAACACTGTACTAAGCGTGTCAATTTGGGCATCTTCCAAAGAGAAGGGCACATGGAACAAGCTGAAAAACATTGCTTTATCTTTCAACTCGCCTTTGTGTTAATACATTGTACTTGGTTCATGCCAATTCTCTAGGCTTGACTGAGATTTTTGAAGATTTTTTAAGTTAAAAAGGAATGAGGAAAATGTGTTGTGCTATATGTACACAAGTTAAATTGATGACAGGATGTCAGTATGTTATTTATTCTACCCTGAAAGTAAAACAGAAAGCCAGGACCATTATCTATTAATGTCTGTCTGGTTGAGTCTATCTGAACTGGCAGTCAATTGGAGAATGCAGAGAAGCTTAGCAGGGAACATTGTGTGAAAGTTAACTGTAGTCCCTGAGAGTTTAGATGACCTCTGAAATATCTAGCAGCAGCCATGAAAATGCTCTGTTTATAAATACCTTTTTATAAATGTGGGCATGAGATGTGACGGGAGGGCTCATTTGCTTATCTCTTACAGCTGCACAGATGTCCTGATCTCTCTGACTTCCAGCAAAAAATTGCTAGTGTTCTAAGCTACAATGAAAAACTGCAAAAAGAGAAGGAAGCTCTAAGTGAAGAATTAAACAGCTGTATTGATAAGGTAGTAAAAATAAGATGGCTTTTTACTGTGATTATACAGTGTGTACCACAATGAGCATTTCTCTGTACGCATGGGCCTAATCATTAGCCTAACTGTTCCAAAGTCTCCTGGAACAGCATTTCAGCAGGCATCACGTGACCTTAGAGCTGAAGCCATGATTTTAACAGCAATCTAAATTAGTTGTTTAATAACTATATTATTAAATACATTAATACAAAGTTAGTCTCATTTTAATATTTAGCCATGCTACTTAATAATAGTATTTAAATCTATCATTATCTAGTTATATATAATATAAACATATTGTTGTATTTAGTAATTTGCGATCTATTACACAGACACTTTTTTTTCTATTGCATTTTCCCTAGCAAATCCAAAACAATGCTTTTGTCCCACCTGCCTTATTTTCCTGTTATGGTACACTCTTGAGATTTCTAACTGCCTTCCAGTCCACTGTGTCTAACCTGTAAAATATGAGGCAATGAGAAAGAAAAATGGGAATCCCTAAAGAAAAGAGACTCTTCAAAATTAAAGGCAGAAAAGGGGGTCAGTTAGGAAAATCTCTTTCACTTTGCTCTGCTCCACCATGTAAATAGCTGGTACTTGATCTTCTCAGTGTAAGTGGAGGCACATAAATTGAGGCTAGATATGTTTGCAAAAATGCCCTATTACCTTTTTCCATTTCCCAAAACAGTTGACACAATCAAGTCTTTTAGAGCACAGAATTGCTACGATGAAGCAAGAACAGAAGTCTTGGGAACACCAGAATGAAAGCTTGAAGTTGCAACTAGTGGCTTCACAGGAAAAGGTATGTGGACAATTCTTGTTTCATCTGCACAGTTTATATTTTCCTGTGTCTTCCAACAGAACCCACAAAAGAAAGAATATCCCAGGTGGAAGTGGCCTAAAAGGGCTCAGAATGAGTCAATTTGACTAATATTCGATACATGCATAACTTGAATATTTCCCTCAGAGTTCATTATTATGAGATTATCTCATCATTATGAAATTACTTATTTATGAAAGCTTGAAAATAGTATGCAAAAAGAACTGCTTGTTCTTAATTTAGAAATGGGTTATCTAAGGCAGGTTCATGCCCTGTTATAAAGATCTGTATTACCATTCCTTTTACACATTTAATTTTTTAATTGAAATAATTGAGATGTTAGCAGAGAGTAGGGTTCTAGACGTATATATTTTTATTTTCAACTAAGAGGTTCTTTCTAAACACCACAGGCTTAAACATAATTTCTATAAAATTAGGTAAAACCATCTTTTGCGATGCCAGTTGGTTCTCATTGGTTCTGTAAGATAGTACTTGGTAATATACCAGATGATTATATCAGCAATATCTTGCTCTAGGCATAGTTATCATTGTTGTATATATAATTTAATATCTTGTAAATATACATAATATTACTGAGTTTCCACTGAGCCGTAGTAAAAAGCTGGAGATAGTAAGTGGAAACAGAAGGGACCCAGGGGTTATCTTCTCCAAGCTCATTTATACCTGGACATGCTGCAGGCGAGACCACAAGGATTTGGGTCACAGTGTGAGGTTGCTCCCCTCATGCAGGTCCAGAGTTTAGAGGACACCCTGCAGAACGTAAACCTTCAAATGTCCCGGATTAAATCCGATCTACGAGTGACTCAGCAGGAAAAGGAGGCTTTAAAACAAGAAGTGATGTCTTTACATAAGCAACTTCAGAATGCTTGTGACAAGGTAATTTTCTTTTTTTATGGACATATAACTTTATACAGTAAAGTATACACAATTTAAGTATATGTCTTGGCTATTTATATACATGTATATGTAAAATATATTTTACATATCTCTGTGTCTGTGTCTGTGTAACCACCACCTAGTTCAAAATATAGGACACTTCCAGCACCCAGCAGGCTCTCTTCGGTCCCCTGCAGCTGATAACCCCAAGGGAACCACTGCTTTACCCTCTGCACCCTCGATTAGGGACCCTTGTTTCTGAGCTTCATATAAATAGAACCATAGTGACAAGGTAACTTTTTGTATTGTGCAAGTCAGAAGACCATGACTAAGTTGTTTTGTTGTAAAACTAAATCATTTTGATGTTGTAGAAAGCACATCTCATTTTAATATCACAGTGCTGCTTCATCTGTGCACAGATAAAGAACAGTGCTGTGGATGCCGTCCTTGAGGAGAGGTTGAGATTTTTGTCCTTCCATAAAAGTAGGCATTAATTCAGTTATTTTATCTCTTGGTGATACTTTTCAACTGTGATTTAAAAAAATAATAACATAGTTTCCATTTAAAAAAATTACTTTTGAGCTGACATTTTTCTCAAAGTGAAATGGTATCTTTTTCATGTTTTGACTTAAAAGGCTTATCTACTTCTGTTGGTTTTTTTATTTTTTAAATCAATTTTCAGGATCCAAAAAGTCACTTTGGTAGCTTAAAGTATATTTCTGTGTTCAGGCCTCAATTACATGGACAACATGTGCTTTGGGATCTAAAAAAGGGTATGATCGCGTGTGTGAAAATGGAAGCAGAGTTGAGCTTGTGAAAGCTTTCAAGTTAGCAGTACATTTCTGAGTTCCCTCTGCGTCCTCTGTTAGCCAAGAGAGTAGTTATCTGGGTTCAAGGCATAACTTCATAAGAAGGAGGCAGTTTTTTAGGCCACCAGTCTCTTTGTACTTGTGTCCTGTGTGGATCTGGGACTTCCTTGCGGTCACCTTGACTATTCAGTCACCTTTACTATTAGACTTGATGGGGCTATTTTGCCAAAGACTGTTTTAAAGAAAGCGTTTACATGCCCTTTTTTTTTTAAGTCAAACCCCAGTAACATTGTTGTATTTATTTCTATCTATCTCTGTGTGTGTACACATACATATATATACATGTGTGTATACATATACACACATACAGTTGCTTTCATTAGAAGACAAAGATGAAAGTTGAAAGGCATTTACTAAGAATTGTTGGCATTAGGTAAACATGACACTCAAAACCAGAAATCAGCTTGTTTTTAAGTTTAACTCTACACCTCTCTCTTAAGAACGGGGCCCCAGAAGTAGCCAGCCAGCCATCAGGATTCCACAGCCAGCAGCAACGGCTGTCTTGGGACAAGTTGGATCATCTGAGGAATGAGGAACAACAGCTGCTTTGGCAAGAGAACGAGAGACTCCAAACTGTGGTGCAAAACACCAAAGCGGAACTCACATACTCCCAGGAGAAGGTACTGGAAATGTTGTGCATGGTGGCACATGTTTGAAAATGCTTAGTTTGATGTGAAAATGAATGTTTCATGTGATGGAAATAGTTGTAAGGTATGAATTTGAGTGTTCTCTTACAGCAAACTTATTTTAAGAATGTTTTATTTATCATTTGCTTTCATTAAAATTTATCCTGATATGTTTATACAATATTCATTTTTGTATAAGCAGTTCTATCAGTACATTAAAATCTTATTTTAATCCTCATATCCAAAATATAGACTTGTGGAAGTTGTTAGCCATACATTATTCTTCAAATAGGCTAGCCGTTGAGACTTAGTAGTACCAAAGTGGCCAAACAAGACCCAAATCTTCTTTGTCTAAGTCCTTTTAAGAGAAAAGGTGTCCCTTTTCAAAGGTTATTTCCAAGTTTAGAGGCCAGAATGGTCTTTAAAGATCATCTCTTCCAACTACTAGGTTGATGTGTAAGTTCTTTACCTCTACTAAGTAGTGGACCAACTTTGTTTAACCTTTACTTAAACACCTGTTTCAAGGAATAACTCTCTAAAGAGCCACAGATTTTCATTTAGCACACCTACTGTGTGCCACAAACTCTGCTATCCCTGAAGCTGTAATGTCAAGTAAGACAGACATGGTCACTGTCCTCATGGAACTGTGTTGATGTAAATATGTTGTTTCAGATGTGAAATGGATGGGACTGTGACCTCATGTCAGAGCAAAAGTGCCTAGAACTGTGTTCCCTTGACTTCTAGCATTCGGTAGGGCCAGAAGTCCCCTCCTTCCCTGTGTGTTCCTTACAGTGTTGGATTTTTAGAGCCAACCAGGCTAAAAATAGATTTACCTAGAAAGGATCTTTTTGAAATAGAAATGAAGTAGACTTTAAAAACTAGCAGACTTGACTGATAAAAGTATTTTTAACACAGTGATACCCAAGTGGTAAATAAAAACTTTCCTTATGTTCGTGGTTTGCTTTTCCTGGCTGGGTGATTATATTAGCGTGTCTTCCTCTTACGTTTGTTCTGGTTAGGTCCATCAACTGGAATCCAACCTTTTCCCCACCAAGCACCAAAAACATCTCAACTCATCAGGTACTGTGAAGCCCACAGAGCAGGAAAAATTGAGCTTAAAGAGAGAGTGTGAACAGTTTCAAAAGGAAAGATCTCCTACAAATAGAAAGGTGAGTTTTTAAGAGTTTATACTGTGTCTACTATGTTCTGACTATGACATGTCCCTAAGTGTGCATTTCTTCCGGTGTGCTTCCACGGAAATGACTGCAGTGGTGTGTTTTTGCTCTTCCTCACGTCTGTGTTCTGGTAATCTTGTCAAACAGTGTGCTCCTTTTTGACTGAGTGGTGGTTCAAAGGTGCGATTAACTTTAAGCTTTCATAAAGAAGACAGTTATTCATCTTTATTTAGTATTACAAAGCCTTTATAAGTTAGTAAAGTATATATGAGGAACATCTTAAAGTCTGTATGATCTATTTCTGTGTAACAAAACGACAAACACATTTGTCTCACAGTTTCTGTGGGTCAGGAATTCAGAAGCAGCTTAGCGGAGTGCTTCTGGCTCAGGGTGTCTCATGAGGTTGCAGTCCAGATATCAGCCTGGGCTGTGTTCATCCGAAGGCTTCACTGGAACTAGAGGATCCACTTCCAGGTCCATTCATATACCTGTTAGGAGGAGGCTTCTTTTCCCGCTGACTCATTGTCAGAGGCCTCAGCTCCTTACCACCTAGTCTTTTCTCAGGATGTGGCAGTGAATGAAAAGATAAAGACATCCCAAAACACCATCACGGAAGCTCTCGTACCTTTTATAAGCTAGTCCCAGAAATGATAAGCACCATTATTTCTGCTGTATTCTCTTGGTCATACACACTAACCCTGGGAGAGAGAGGAGGGTACCGTGCAGGGGTGTGAAGACCAGGGGGTGGAGATCGTGGGGCACCATCAGGGAGGCTGGCTACCATGTGGTTAAACCTTTGTGGCACAGTTCAGTTCTTTGTCCCATGAAGTTAGAGTCCTAGGCCTGTGTTACTCTGGGAGTTCTTGTTATTACTTGTTTTTCTTTCTTTTTCTAAACTAAAACTCGCAGTTTTCACTATTCGCTTCTGAAAGTTATGGTTTGTTTAAAAATCTGGCAAGAATGATGATCATTTATTTTTTTATGAAAATTTCATAATTTTATTAATATTTGTCAAAGTTATGATGACCATTTGCAGTGAGAAGAATGGGTGTGCTCTAAAGCTGAAATGTCATTTAAATGTCATTTAATACATTCAAGAAAGCTTCTCAAGTAAGACAGTGGGTTTCATCTAGCTACTCACTAAGGGAAAAATCTAATGATAGGTTTTAACTTAACAATGAATTTAAATATACCTTGGGAGACTACACTCTGTTTAACAGTTCTTGCTACTCTCTTCATCTCTTCTGGTAGAATCAAAAATTAATATTCTAGCATATTGTCATATGTTTTCTATTTAGTATTCCAAATCCCAGTGCTCTCAAGCTCATTAGATTCTTCCTATAATAAAGAGAATTCCAAAAATGGATACTCATAAAATCTTCAAATTTCATCTTTAAAATTAAGAGAGGAGTTATAGAAATCAAGTTTGATGTATTCCCAGATTTAAATCTTTAAAGTTTGCCTTAAGACAGTGTTTTTTCCATTGCAGATCCATAGTAGAGAATCATAAAATTGATTTAGGGAAACATCAGCATTCTTATTAGCAAAACATACCACAAAATATGAGTGCATGGTAAGGATAAGTATTATTTCGGAAAGTTTTCCTTCAGTGATATGTACTTATGTACTTATACATAACAAGTGGGAGTGGGTATATTTTCTGGGTTGCAAGGTACAATGTATTTCATACAGTGAGTGGCATTGAAGTTTGAAAGCCAGCTCCCTTAAGAAATCTGCTCTGCTTGAGAAGTGGTGATTATAACTACATTACTCAAATGTAATAAATGCACTGAATTATTTTGTTTGATTTCCTTCAAGGAATGAACCCAGCTTTCTTTCAAGAGCTGAGATTTCTGACTAGTGTAAACTTGTCAAAATAAAGTAGAGCAACTCAGATGGAAGTTTCATTTTACTTTGTTTAAAGGGCATTTTTTTTGTTTGTTTTTTAACAGGTCAGTCAAATGAATTCCCTTGAACAAGAATTAGAAACAATTCATTTGGAAACTGAAGGCCTGAAAAAGAAACAAGTAAAACTGGATGAGCAGCTAATAGAGGTATAAGCTTTTAAGCAAATGGCCTTAGCTATGAAGAATATTTTAATCCATGAATGAGCCATTTGTTGGGAGAGCCTAGCATAACATAGAATTCATATTATGGAAAAAAGTGAAAATCTAAGTATGCTGCCAAGCTGAATTCTTTGGTCTATCTTAGCAAGTTTGATGGACATTTTAGCTTAATACACAGTCATGGGAATTCATACTGCTTCACAGAGGAAGGAATGATGTTGACTGTCCTGAAATGGAAGGACCTGTTCAAGTGCAGGGACTGTCCAAAACTAGCCAAGAGACCCATGGCTCTCTTGCCTTTGCTGTGGTTGTTTTCCTGATGCCTTCCATAATATAGTGTTTTATAGATATGACTGCTCTCTAACAACCTATTCAGTAAGGAAATCTATGCAATGTATTCAAGAACATTAGCATTTAGAAGTTTAACTTTCAAGTGTTGCCACTGTTCATTACATTAGTATCTCAGCACTGCCTTGCGAGAGGTACAGCTGTTAAACACAAAAATGGATTTGTAAACTTGTTAGCCCGGACACTGGGTTTCAGTGTACTGGATTGCTCTGAGTATTTTAGAACAATGATGGCTATGAAACAACTTATGTAAAAATCCTCCCTAATAAGTTGTAATTTCATTGAGATACTTTGCTTTGGGTAGGTGGAAATATTAGTCCAATGTTTATGAACTGTAAAATTTTTATAAGGTAGGGAGGCATGAGTAGAAAATGCCTTTTTTGTGTGCTGTTAAAAAGTACTATGTATACAGTTATTTTTAAGCTGGAATTATCAGAAGGAAGAGAAATGTTTAAGTATTTTTATGAAGCTGAGCACATGCAAAGGTAACTTTAAATAGATGCTTGGTTTTTAAATATGAAACATGGGCAAACATATCACATTGACATTTAAATGATCACTGAGGTTTCTGTCACTTTTATGTCCTCTGATTCATTCACTAATAGAGAGGTTACTGAACTATAAATAGCAAAATCCAAAGCATTTTTTTCTTTCTCTGACAGTATATAATAAATGTCATAGGAATTCATACTGCTTCAAAGGTTCAAAACCTTGAGCTGCAGGCTGTGTTTACATGCAGTTATGCTCTTCTGATGAAATAATTATATACTGTAGTGAATAAGAAATCTGAATCTAAGGTTGCCGTGTCTACTACCACACTGAAGAGTAACAGGGTATATACTCCGTCGCTACTAGAGCCTCTCCAAACACTGGCAGCCGGCCAGTTCTCCCACTGCTCTCACTGGCCTTGGAAACCCCCTTATCTCCCAGCCCTACTTTACATTATTAGCCATCCTGAGCAATTTTCCCTCATATTTTTCTTCCTGATCTAATAGTAAGTGTTTACTAATGGATGAGGGAATGTACTTGGCACTAGAGCTGAATAAATAGGAAGCAGGAATTTCCAATGGAAAGACTGAAAAGAACATCTTATACACTATTCTAACAAAGCTTTCTTTGGGAAAATAAGACTGAGCTATTATTCTGTATAGACCTGAACAAATTGGATTCTTTTAGTAGTTTTATTGAAATACAACTCATATACTACAATTCACCTATTTAAAGTGTACATTTCAATGGTTTTTGGTATATTACATTAATTTTTAAAATTGTGATAAATATATGCATAAAATTTGCCATTTTAACCATTTCTAAGTGTACAATTCGGTGGTGGTGATTACATTCATGATGTTCCAGAACCATCGCCACCTAACTTCCAAAGCTTTTAATATCTGCACAATTTATATACAATGTAATTGTTGGTTCTCTGTAAGTTCTTACTGACTAAAGCACACATATTCAGGTATATAATACACTCAATTTGTACTCCTCTTTCTCTTTTTATAACTCATACTTTTCTTCTTTTTATAACTTCTGCAATTTTGTTTTTGTTTTGTCTGTGGCTAACCTATACCTAGAACTCTGTGGTTGGAACTAGCAGAGAAGGGTGCAGTTCTCTGCCTGAGATAGTGTGTGAAGGTAGAACATTCTCTTTCAATGAATTTCATAGCATGGAGACATCTCATTCAATTCCTTCTACATGTAATCACTTCTTCTGACTGTAGCAGTTAATAAATACTTAAGGAAAGAGCCAATATTCATTTTCATTTTGCTTTAACTGTGGAATATGTTTCTGTTTACATTTACATCAGGATTTTCCTCAGTATTTACAACTCAGTATTTGAAGACGTGATGAAAACTATCCCACTGATATAAAATCATGGGATCATAATTCTCCATGTTCCTTGTTCCTGAAAATAAAGTGGTGGATTTTCTGAATCTATAACATGTTTCAAAATGGGTAATGGCCCGCCCCCAAAATTTAGATTTGCAAAAATGGATAGTGGCTCTGAAGTTTCCTAATAACCTTTCATTATAATCGTGTCTTAGAGGACCTTTTCCCTTCTCACAAGCCTGGAGGTACTTCTTGAGATTAGTACTTGTTCATGTTTGTTGCATGCCTTCCAGTGAGCCCTGTGTCTGCTGGATGCCGTCAACAGGTGTGAATTGGCATGATTCACTGGCCAAATGCCGTGCATTCTCCTCTTCCTTTTCCTCTCTCCAACTCTGACTGGCATGTGATACGCATACTACCTCCTCATTGTCTTGTGTACTTCACACAAGACAATGTGAACTTCACATTGTCTTCTGTGTACTTCAGTTCTCAGGTGTTCTAGGATATCACCTTATGCCCCAGAATTGCCTGTTTTACTGTGCTATTTAAAAATATTAACATTGATAAGCTGATAGGTTAAAATAATTTTAGATGCAAGATTCTTTGAAAAAATATTGCTAACTTGAAAAATACATTGCCATTGAACATTTGCTTTTAAGAATCTTTTTGAATGGTAAGTTGCAAGCCCCTAAAGCACAACCACTCTCTTCCTTTTGTGAACTCCAACGCTGGTGTGGTTGTTTTTTGAAGAGAGATAATTAAATGTTCTAGTGCACAGGTGGCAAACACAAGGCTCGTGGGCTGAATCTGGCCCTCCACCTTGTTTCTACCTGGCAGCAGTGCCAAGCTCTCGCTTAACTGTTAAGGAATAGTTACATTTATACAGTCCTAAAATTACATCTGGCCCTTTGAAGGCAACCATGAGGCTCATGTGGCCCCCGGTGAAAATGAGTTTGACACCCCTGTCTAGTGTTAAGAAAAAAAATGAAACAGAATTCAGACATTATGTATATCATGTACCCCATACCCTTATACTCACTCAAGAGTGAGGAAGAACAATTTAAAGTCTAAACTTTTAAGAAGGACTACTGATTCATTAATTATATTATTTCCCAAGCAAAATGATTCTTCCCATTTACTCCTTATCCAGACCCATGCACTATACTGATTTGCAGGTTGTCAGGGGGTCAGGCTTCATTACTCGGGCTTAACACTTTCAAGGTAAGGTGTGTTTGAAGGCGCTGCAGCTGACCAGGGCTTTGCCCTTGTCCTCCAGATGCAGCACCTGAGGTCCACTGTGATGCTTAGCCCATCCCCTCATGCTTGGGATCTGCAGCTGCTCCGGCAGCAAGCCTGTCCAATGGTGCCCAGGGAGCAGTTTCTGCAGCTTCAACACCAGCTGCTGCAAGCAGAAAGGATAAACCAGCACCAGTGGGAGGAACCTGAAAACAGAACCTCCGAAACCAACACACCACAGGTATGAGGCTCTTGTTTTCCTTTAACAGAAACTCAGACCGTCTAATTATTTTACCTGTTTATTTGAAGTCATACCAGTTGAAAGGTGGAGATAAAGAATGTAAATCTTCTGTCAGAACTGCAGTGCCTTTTTTCTTTTGTTTTTTGCAGTGCTGCTTTTGAGTCCTCAGCTTCTAAGCTGGGTAATTAAGTGCTCTGGGTCTCCTTTGCATATTCGTAATTGATGATAAAGTATCAGGATAACTTGTAGATAGTGCACAGTCTTGTCTGATGCCAAAAGTATTACAGAATTCAAGTGCAGTTCTAGGACATGCATTACTAACAAAGCTTCCTGGGTTTTCTTGTACCAGAGGCGTGCGGCCTGCTGAGTTCCATGGAATGCACAACTAGGGACTGTTCACAACTAACGGAGTCCAATGTATAGTCAGTGACTTTTTAGTTGACATAGCTCACTTAGAGTTTTTCAAACTACATCATATAAAAAATCATTTTTAAGATAATAAAGAGCTTCCCCTCCCTTTTGAATTTGCATTATCCCAGGACACTCACTACCAGACACCTTACATTACCTAGGTTTTCAAATAGTTATTCTCTCTAGTGCTTCACTCATAATCATCCTTGTTCAGAAGTCTCTTAACTCTCTGGTCTTGTGCATTTAGTTTATTCAGCATTAGAAATAAAATTACAAATACTCCTTAGTTTGTAGAATTATAAATTAATTCTTTCTGGTTTGGATGCTTTTCTATTTTCAAATACTTTGCTTCTCAGTTGACATTTGATAAGGAATTTCCCGACTCTCTTTCTGTAAGCCCCTCAAAGTGGCTTTGCAAAGTCACATTCACACTATAATTATATATCAGAGCAGTTCTCTTTTCCTCTCCTAACATGTATCTCTATGCTTTGTCATGATGTACTTCTGCCATTTTCTTTCCAACAAAGCCTTTAAGAATGTTTTCCTTTTGTGCTTTAAAATCCATGTTTTTAGAAACTTCCTACATTCCACTTCAATTTTCAAATATTAAAATTAAGCTCTTGAATAAAAACTGCGATGTGGTCTATTAGATGCTTCAACTCTTCATTAGAGTCGATTTATAAAACCTTGACCTCATTTTTTACTGGACATTTTAAACCAATGACTAGGTGAAGATTTTATTCGTTGCTTTCTCAGGCACACTATTATCAAAGCATGCTCTTCCCAGCAACCCCCCCAAAAATGTTTAAAAATAAGTAATCCCAAATTATTGGAAAAATAATTTATTCCAGTTACTTCAGGATTGGGTAGACAAAAATAGGTTAAGATCTTCATACTAAAACGAAAACGTTCCTCCAGTCACACAGCAGGGTGGGCTGCTCATTGCTGTCACTAGAATGCCACCACAGGCCCTGCTGTTTCTGTAACTGAGCTGACACTAGTTTTAAGGATATTATTAGAATGTGCACGTTGTCTCTGTGCGTGGAGTGATGTGATTTCTTCTGCCTTTGTGTTGCGTTGCCTGCGTATGTGGTGTTAATGTGTGTACTTTTAAAAATTGCTTGCATTATAAATGTGTGAATTTAGATTCCTCCCAAAAAAAACATGATCTGGACACCAGGGTGAAGTGTACCACTTGCCTTCTTTCTCTAGGCCTTGCTACCGGAGCAGCGAGCAGTGCATGCAGATTCCTACAGAAGGATTGGGCACCTGTGAAAACTGGGCTGCTATTGATGGCATTTCTTACCATGGCAGACACTCAGATGCACACACCCACACCCCCACACACACCACACACACCACACAAACACAGAGACATAAGCTGAGAAATGTTTTGGAATCAAGTGCTCTTTTAAATTATTATTATTATTATTATTATTATTATGCCTTTGCAGTATTATATCTCTTATTTATTTATGTAGAAATGACAGAATTCATGAATCAAATTCACAAATTTTAGCCTTTTGGAAATCATTTTATTTATACCATTTAAAGAGTATGGATTTGAGATCCTTGAAAGGATGTATTCCATATATTTTCTCATTCCATATGTTGTAACTATTTTTAATAAAAGGTACTACTTTTCTATATGGAATTTGAAGAAAATCAGGGTTTATTTATACTGTTTTGTATGAGATGTACAATACTTTTTTGACAGGAAATTTTTGATGAAACAATAAAATAAATTTTAAATATGACTGCCTTTGTTTTTCCTCTTTCCTCATTCTTTTGCCATGCTCCTTGTTCTTTAAATTAATTAGCTGTTATTGTTTCTTATTTGCTTCGTGTTTTTTTTAAGGCAAGTGGAAATCAGGCTCTTTCCATTTTATGTTTAAATTTTAAACAGCCATTCTATCTTCTAAAAGGTGGGATTTTTTAAACAGCTAGATACTTTCAAAGCCTGATTTCTTGAAATTTACTTTCTGTATTATACTTTTGCCTACTACAATTTTCATCTTCAAAGTAATCACATGGTTTAGTTTCTTTTATGTTTGAATAAATGCTATTATTTTGTAATACATTGGCTTTCAACTCATGTTTGGTCATCCTGTGTGATTATTAAAGGCTGGTTATACCATCAGTCACTAACACCTGAGTTTTACTACTTAACATTTGAAGAATTTTTTAAAATGGAAAATTCCTTATGTGAACATTTTAGTGGACTGTGGGGAAGGGCCGTCACTTGCACTGTACTGTGAGGAGAGGAAAAGAAGCCTGGTCTTTTTTGCTGCCCTATTTCAGTTGTTTGTGGGGAGAAGATTCTTCATTTTAAATCTGTTCAGTTGATAAACATGTCCTCCAGCCCGACGTTTGCTTCACATGAACAAGTCAAACTGGAAACAGATGAATAAAATAACTGGCAGGAAGAGGCTAATTATCATGAAGAAACACTAACACCCTCACAGTAATCAGCCATTTCAAAAAAAAAAACAACAACAACAAAAAACAGATATGCATAGTTCAAGCTGACTGGAAATGTTAGGCTAGAGTAAACTCAGTTTTTGCTTTGTTGTTAAGAGGCCCACAGTATTGCAAAGACCCCAGTCACAGGTGGAAGGCTGATAACCATCTTTTAGCTTACTTTGGATACCTATTTTGCTAAAAGTGCACACAGGTATTAAATTGTGGGTTTTAAGAATTTTGCTTTATCTCAGGGGAAGATGGTAACAGAGGTAAGATTCTTTTTTGTTTTATCTTTGATTCTTTCTCTGATAGGATTATTTTTCTAACACATACAACCCATGCAGTGTTCAGAACTCCCATTTCATAAGAAATCCACCCTCCCTGTTACAGAGGCAAACATTTGCTGTCTTTTCCCTAGGTGCACCTTATGGGGAAAATAAACTATTAGTGTTTTCACTTCAGTGTGGCATGATTTTCAAAAGATAATACGTGTTGTTTTCTTCCTTCAGGAAAACCAGGAACAACTGGTAACTGTCATGGAGGAACGAATGATGGAAGTTGAACAGAAACTGAAACTGGTGAAAAGGCTTCTTCAGGAGAAAGTGAATCAGCTCAAAGAACAAGTGAGACTCCCAGGTCATCTCTACCCACCCATCTTACATTCCACTTTTAACTCATTTTGCATTCCTTTATTGCCATTAACTTGTTAACTGTTATCCGATAAGGGCAAATTCTACTATCAATGTATAGAAGACGTTAGGATTCACATTCGCCCATACCACTTCAAAAAAATGAATTCTGTATTTTACATTATTTTTTTCTAGAGCTCTTTTAAGGCATATGTTTGTCCACAATTTTAAAAATGTGTATTTGTTAACAGAGTCATAGATTTTTTTTTTTTTGGCCCAAGACAGGAAACAGTCCTACTTAAATAAACAGAAAATTTATATTAGTAAAAAAAATGGAGGATAATATATAGAACTTGAGCTTTCCTGTTTGCAACAGCTATGATAACCTCAAAAAGTACCTTATAATTATAACCAGATTCAAAAGGCTGTGCTTTGAACTAAAAGCCAGACCCTGAACTCTGTCCACTAAGTAGTCTGGACCTTTTCACCTTCTGGTGGCAGGTGTGGCCTCCATGTTTAGGAATTATATGTACAACCACTAAACAGACATGCAAAAAAAAGGGCTACTTTCTAGGAAAGTTTGAGGCGAACTGGTAGGGTTTGGCAGGAAGAAGTTGCCCAACCTGGTTTTCTAGATAAGTAAAATTTAGGAAGAATAATCCCAAGGGAGGGTCTTCATTCAGAGGTAGACAGGAGCTTTCCTTTGTCCTATAGAATGGAAACAAGAAGTCCTATTTAAAAAAAAAAAAAACATTTAATTGATTTAACCCTTTAATCATTAACTTATTCAGTATATAGTTACTATGTGCCAGGTCCTATTGTAAGCACTAGAGGTACAGCAGTGAACAAAATAAAATTGCTGCCCACATGTAGTATAGTTCACCTTTAAAGTATTGAGCATTTGGCCAGTAATAATTTCAAAAATAAAGAAAATGGGGTCCACTATTTTCAGTAGAGGGGAATGTGAGAAGGAATACTTGTTGCAACCCAAAGAATTTAAAGAAAGTTTCCTAAAGGCCTCTTAAACCTAGTATTGTGCGTTGAGTAAGGTTTTAACAGGTGAAGAAATGTAGGGGCATTTTACGCTGTGGAAACATCATGCAGTTATGACAATATTTGGGGCATGGACATCTGCAAACACTTTGGCATTAATAGTTTGGCATAACACTGTCCTGGGAGAAGCAGGAGGAGAAACTAGAAAGATAGGGAGGAGTTGGCAGTAGAGGCCTAACATGCTGTGGAGTTTGAATTTCATTCCTTAGATGATAAAGAACCATCAAAGTATCTTTTAATGGAAGGGAGGGAGGGGGAAAAAAGTTGTATTAGAACAGTTCAATAGAGTAGGCTAGTGTGTTACACCTGACAGTCATCTACATTCTGGGCTTCATCATTGCCCTATGAAATGCCAATAAATCAGTTAGCCACTCTGTATCCCCCCTCAGCCTTTACACTTTTAGCTGTCCTGCTTGAAATTATGTGTAAATGAGTTAAACGTGTAATGAGGAAAGAGGAATTAGAAAATACTGACAAAAGCAATAATAAAATTACCCAAAGGCTGCTGACAAGTTTTCCCACCCTATCCTAAACTATATATTCTAACCATCAATATTAGAATAAATATCTTCTAGACAAGGCTCTATGTTAAAAGAAGAAGAGTTAAGGAAAAGTAACTGCCCAGGTCTTATTTCTTTGTTATAATACATGAGCCACATTTTAAATAGTCAGTGGGTTATAGTTATGAATAGGAAGATAAAGCATCTGTTAAGAATGAAGTTAAACACAATTCACATCCTACAACTCAGAAATTTAACTTCTAAAAGTATTTAATATTTTTCAAGAATGAATAAAGGAATAATACCTAATTTATTTAGGTGGAAAAACACTTCTCATTTCTGAACTCTCAAATATCAGTTTGTTCTTTTTATCAGCGACCTCTATAAACATTATATAAAGAAACAGTTTGGAATAAGTGGATGTACTCCACTTGTATCTCTGATGCCAGCCTGATACTAAATCTGTATTGTAAAGTAAGAGAATATAATTGATAGAAGCCATTTGCCTTTGTAAACAACTGTCCATATGTCAGACTTTAACTTCAAAGAATGACAGAAATGGAGTCAGGATGTTTCTGGTTCTGTTTCTAGCTCTGCAAGAATACTAAAGCAGATGCAACGGTGAAGGATTTGTATGTTGAAAATGCCCAGTTGTTGAAAGCTCTGGAAATGACTGAACAGCGACAAAAAACAGCCGAGAAGAAAAATTACCTCCTAGAAGAGAAGATTGCGAGCCTCAGCAATATAGTCAGGAATCTGACACCAGCACCATTGACTTCTACACCTCCCTTGAGGTCCTAGCAAAGCCAAAGGATACACTCGTGTTTGTGCACTTTACTGAAATGGGTGGGACATTTCAGTAGGTTCTGTCAACCTCTTTTTTAATTATTAAGTTAAAAAACCTTTAATGGCTTCAAGTTAAGCCTAACTTAGGACTGCCAGCAACAGAATTGAAGTCTTCATTCACTGTAATGAGTTTTTCTAAACAGACTCTAATGGGAGTTGCAAACAGTCACGTATTTCACTGTTTGAAGTATTCCCAACTTTTGAATTTTTAAGAAGATTCTAACAGCCACCAAGAAGGTAGATATTAAAAACAATTCCAGAACCTTAAAATACCGGTTTTGAATGAGTTTTTTGAAATAATTATTAAATTCTAGCTATTTTCAGTTTGATATCTAATTAATTTTGTTGTTTTGATCTTTATTTTAAACCAAATGTATGCCTTCTTAACATTTAAATATGGAAAGTCATTCTGTTTCTAATAGTTTCATTCTTTGAATTAACTGTAGACTTCCTACATGGCAACAGAAACTGCGCTTAATAACCACTGAAGTCAAAAAAGACAATCCGTAGAACTCTACCTTCTGAGACCTTTGACAGTATTACCACTCTTGATGTATTATAGATATATTACTGATTTACTCGGCGGCACTGTTAACTAATTCTGCAGCTTTACTTTCTTTAAATAGCCCTCTTTTTCCTTCTTATAAGTTTTACTTGGGAGCTTGTCTTCTAAAAATGGATAAAGCCACATTCTTAAAGCATTTGAACTATAGGGAAAGCACTGGACAGACCACTTTGGAGAACAGCTACTCTTAGAAGGGAGAAAAGGACACCAGGTGGGTTTTTCTCTCTCAAAAGTCTGGGAATTTATGAGATTACATTTGGGGTTGCCTCAAGAACTCAGGGAACAATACTTTAAACTGTCTTCCTGAAATAACATAGGGCCTCTGTAAGAATTTAAAATGTATAAACCTCATGACCTTATTTATTTGTCTTATATTTAGAGCCATAGTGAGATTTTTATTTCTACACTATTAGTGAATGTAATCTTCTGAAAAAAGGCCTTGATTTTACAGTTAAAATCCTCTTCCAAACTATGGAATAGTTATTATTTGCTTGTTTGTTTAAATAGATCAAAATTTCCATACTTCCTATTCCTCTACACCTCAAATCTGATAATAAGAATTTCTTACTGTGACAAGTAAGTACTGGCATGCCATCTGAGGAAAAGGAGTGCCAAGTAGCGTTTCCCATTTAGTCTCAATAACAGAACTTTATAGAATAATACACGTTGCAGATTCAATAACTTTTTTACCCTCCAAGTAAAATCTACAAAGTAGCCTACATCAGCCAGCAGTTGGTGGAGGACTTAGTAAGTGAAGCCCATCACAGTCATCTAATTGTTTTTGTGAGAGAGCAATTAGATAAGAAAAATAAACTTTGCTGTATCCCAGGAAGGCCAAACCCACTAATTCACAAGCAGTACAACAGCAAAATTAAACACTGCTTTATGGGCAGGAACAAAAGATGAAGCAAACTGCCTAAGAAGTCATATGTCAGAAACTCAATCTCAATACAAGTTGCATCAAGGAATTTCAGAGTTCCTCCAGTCCTAACCATGTTCCATGTCCCAGCTGCCAACACAGGAGTCTTCACTGCAAGAGCCCTGACAAGGCATGGTTGTTTATGGGACTGGGAATTCCCATTCATGAAGCAAACCTTTTCACATCTTGACAGCCTTTATCAGAAAGTTCTGATTTCCTCTTGGAAAGGGAATTTTAATCTTTCCCTACAAGTACACTTTAAAGCATTTGGTATCTGCTATCACACCTTCCCTCATCTTTCTTTTCCAAACATTACTAGTAAATATAACTACTCTCATGGCTTTGGATTTAACAGAGAATCTTTTTCACTGAAAACTGTGGTTAGGCCTAGGCTAAGGTCATAAATAACCTAAGTGTCTATGGTGTACTTATGTGATATATATATTACTCAATGTTATTGCCATCAGAAATGAACACCAAGAATATTTCTCAAATATTTACCTTAGTGTGTGCTCACATTGTAATTTTTACATTATGAAAAGTGTAGGTTAATTTGTTTATTTCTCATAAATCTGTATTTGTGTGTGTATAAAATCCTGTACAGTGAATGTGAATATGACTTTCTGGAAGGCTATAGACTACATTTAGAATCCCTTTATCCAAAATCAAGATGCTGCTCAGATGAAAGTTTGTTTAACCAACATCTAGGTGCTTAATTTCTTGCTTTACTGCATTTGTAAGATTGGGGGAAAAGTCAACATGAGAAATGTAGTTACCTTAAACTTACACATTTGTGTGACAGTTTATTTTTATAAAGTAGTTTAGAATAGGAATTTAATTGGCAATTGATAATATAGCTTATAGCTTTTTAAAAGACCTTTTAGCCCTGGCTGGTGGGCCTCAGTGGATTGAGTACTGGACTGCAAAGCAAAGGGTTGCTAGTTCAATTCTCAGTCAGGGCACAAGCCTGGGTTGTGGGCCAGGTCCCCAGTAGTGGGCTCACAAGAAGCAACCACAAATTAATGTTTCTCTCCCTCTCATTTTCCCTTCCTTCTCCTCTCTAAAAATAAAGTCTTTCTTAAAATTTCTTTTTTAAAACAGAAGACCTTTTAAAGAGATTAAACTTAAAATCAAATGATTAGATATTGCTTTCAGACTTTATAATAGTACTCTTTAAAAAATCACAAGTTATGTATAATTTTATAGACATTTATAGTTGCTTGTTTGTTAAAAGCACTGGTTAAACTATCTTTTGACTTCCTAAGAAGAGTTATTTAAATTAAGTCATAGAAGATGGGATCTTCATTTCAAGGAAAGAGAATTTGCTTTTGTGATAATAGTATGTTGCACTAAGAAGAAGAAAATGTGGATAGTAAAACTTGTGTTCTATTCACTTTCCTCTGCTTTTTAGAAACCTCGGCTCTTAAACTCATATTTGTGAAGGGAGAAAAGCAGAAGCAGGGGTGGTAGAACCACCATAGTATTTTATTTATTTTTCTAAAATTTAATAAACTCAGACTTTAAGACTGTTTTAAATGTGAATGCTCTCCAGAAGCTTCAAATGCATTTCCGATATATTTAATCTTAAGCATATTTCACATAAATAGATCACCAAGTCATAGGCTTTCAAGATATCGGAGGAGCTGTTACAGGTCTAGCTAGTATTTCAATAATGTACCAATACCCAAGGCAGATAATATTAATATGAGGAACTTTTTTTTTAAAGAATGAATGAGACTTCACAGCAGATTTTATGTTGAATGAGTTTCTTATTTTTGTGACTTTTTTTTCTGATTGAAGGAAAAGAGAAATGTGTTGCTACTGTCAACATTTTAAAGGTATCCCCCGTCAAGAGAAGACTAAGTGCTTTGTAATAAATAGTATTAAGCAAGTCTGGTTTTGAACAGATATCTGGAATGACTCATTGGAATGATATAATTATACAAGTAAGCCAAAAACCATGTCAAAGCCTAATAACCAAAGCATTCCATATTTAAAACTTATTCATTATATCATGTTTGGACCTATTTAAACATCTCAACGCTGTAAAATAGAGTTGGTATTATGGCATATGAATAGCTGTTTAATAATAAGTCCAAGTTAGCTTTCTATTTCTCAGTTTTTCTGAAAGATGTTAAATTTATTCTTATGGGAAGACATCACAGCACGATTTAAGGGAACACTGGTTTTGTGAAGAAAAACCTGAGTTCACCTAAAGCCTCTAGGCTCTAGGAATCTTCTCAGATACAGATTAATGTGTATATATCAGCCTTGTATATTTCATCTTAGCCATTCTATCTTAGAAATTTTAAATATGAGCTTAAAATGTAAATAAATCATTTTACAAATGTGACTTGTTTTCTGTACACTTTGGAACTTTTACAAACAGTCTCACTGTATTTATCATTGGTATTTAGTGTGAAAACATCAAAATATTGCACTTAAAAATCTGCACAGAATCTGATCCTCTACTCCAGACTTAATGAATCAGATTAGGCATTTTTAACAAATCCCCAAATGATGTATATGTGAGTTAGGGCCCGATACCTCATTTTTGTCACAGAATTGTTAACATTCACACTGGCATCTTTAGGGTCTCTGTTCTTGTTGTGGTTCATAATTTACTTATAAAATTCTGATTTAACCATAGGCAAGGCCATGCTTGGGAGTTCTGGTGCTTTGGAGGTGGCGTTATTTCACTTTGCCATCTTCATGGGTGACACAGACTTTTTTAGTTGAGCTGTGCATGAATGATGATGTAAGTGCAATTATAAGCACAAAAAAGTTAACCTGAAAGCACATTATTTAATATGCTGAGTACTGAAATATAAAATAGCAATGTTGCCCAAACTAGACTCACCTTATGAGCCTGGTTTTATTTATTTTCAAAGCTTTTAAACCAGACTCATACTGCCTTTATGAGGCAAGAACTATTATCCCCATTTTACAGATAAGAAAACTGCAACTTAGCAAAGTTGTGACTTACTCAAGGCCACACAGCTGCTAAGTAGGGGACACAGGATCCAAGGCCCAAGTCCATGTGTACTAATATGTTGCAACAATTGAGGGGGAACTAAGATGGTGGAGGAGTAAGTAGAAGCTACCCTAGTTTCCTCCCAGGACAAATCTAGATTACAACTAAATTGTAGAGAAATCATCCTGAATAACCAACTGAACACTAGCTGGAAAAAAGCCTTATAACCAAACACGGACAGAAGAAACTACTTCATCACAACATGACTGGTAGGAAGTGTGGAGGAGTCAGGTGACAGGTGTCAGCTGAAGTTCCAGAGGAATATTTCAGCAGCTGGTAGGTTCCTCCTGAGAACTGTGGGGTCTAAGCCTCAAGCTGGACTCCACAGCCTTGAGCACCAGAGCCAGAAAAGGGACGCAGATAACATCTAGCTGTGAAAAGCAGTGGGATTTCTGCCTGCCTGGGAGAGACAGCTGGAGACACAGACAGCCTCTTAAAGAGCTAGTGCACAAAACTCCATTTGCAGCCATTTACCCTGGGCTCTATCAGATGGAGGACAGAATGGACTAGAGACATGAGAGTCTGGGGTTGGTGGCTCTGGAGGTAGAACTGAAGGAGCAGCCACCAGGATCGCTGTGCTGAGTCATTCACCATGCTGCAGGAGCCATCTTTCTCAGGCACAGCACTTCTCTCTGAATGGCATTAGCCTGAGGGGAAGCAATAGCCCTGCCCACAGGAATTACTCTGCCCCACTCTGTGGAGCTTAAGCCTGGATGCTGAGTACAGCCTATATCATTGAGGCTATGTCATTGATTGATTAAGTTTAACAGCTAAGGAGGTCTCTCAGAGCTCTGATAGCTACTCTCCACCAGATTCAATGCTAGTAAAACCTGGCCTTGGAGTGCAGCATCATTCCTTCTGCACAGACTCAGGCCCAGCAGAAGGAGCCACCAGCTATGAATTGCTAATAGCTCCAAACATGTTGCCTAGGGCCAGTCACAAGCAGCATCTGACAAAGGTCTGTACCAGAGTCTTTGCAGATAACTTACCTGATACATAGAAACAAACACAAAGAGGCAGACAAAATGGGAAGACAAACAGGCCCCAAATGAAAAGAAGACAATTCTCCAGAAAAAGAACTAGATAAAATGGAGGCAAGAAATTTATCAGATAAAGAGTTCAGAGTAATGATTGTAAGCATACTCAACAGCATGAAAAGAGACATAGAAACCATAAAAAAGAACCAACCGGAAATAAAGAGTGCTATATCTGAAATAAATAATGCACTGGAAGGAATAAACAATAGGTTAAATAAAGTAGACGATTGAATCAGTGATTTGGAAGACAAGGTAGAAAAAAACACCCAGCACAGCAGCAAAAAAATTTTTTAAAAATTTTTAAAAAATTTTTTTAGTGAGGAAAGCTTAAGAAACATTTTGGACAACATAAAGCGTAACAACATAAGCATCATGGGAATATCAGAAGAGAGTGACTAAGGGATCGAGAACCCATTTGAAGAAATTAAGACTGAGAACTTCCCTAATCTGGTGGAGGGAATGGGTCAACATTTGAGATCAAGGAAGAATTCAAAAGATACCTTGTAACTAATAAAACTGACAGAACTTTGTCCCTCCAAAATCTGAGGGACACCAAGAAAGCAATCCTAAGAGGGAAATTCATAGCATTACAGGCCTATCTCTAAAAACAAGAAAAAGCTCAAATAAACCATCTAATTTTACACTTGAAGGTACTAGAGGAACAAACATAGCTCAAAGTGAGTAGAAGGAAAGAAATAATAAAGATCAGAGTAGACATAAAAGGATCTAAAAAATTATACAAAAGATCAATAAAACCAAGATCGGGTTCTTTGAAAAGATAAACAAGATTGACAAACCTTTAACCAGACTCATTAAGAAAAAAAGAGAGGACCCAAATAAATAAAATCAGGAATGAAAGAGGAGAAATAACAAATGATACCAAAAGAATACAAAGGATTGTTAGAAAATAGTACTTTAAATTATATTTTATTGATTATGCTATTACAGTTATTCCAATTTTCCCCCCTTTTCCCCCTCCACCCAGCACACCCCATTCCCTCAGGCAAGTCCACACCATTGTTCATGTCCATGGGTCATACATTTAAGATCTTTGACTACTCCATTTCCTATACTGTACTTTACATCCCCATGGCTATTCTGTAACTACCAATTTGCACTTCTTAATCTCTTCACATCTTCACCCATTCCACCATATCCAGCTCCCCTTTGGCAACATCTAAACCCTCTTGGTATCTATGATTTTGTCTCTGTTCTTGTCTGCTTAGATTGTTTTTTAGAATCAACTGTTCATAGATATGTGTTTATTGCCATTTTATTGTTCATATTTTTTGTGTTTTTTCTTAAATAAGTACCTTTAACATTTCATATAATAATGGTTTGGTAATGATGAACTCCTTTAGTTTTTTCTTGTCTGGAAAGAACTTTATCTGCCCTTCAGTTCTAGATAATATCTTTTCTGGGTAGAACAATCTTGGTTGAAGTTCTCTGCTTTTCATGACTTGGAATATTTCTTGCCGGCCCCTTCTAGCCTGCAAAGTTTCTTTTCAGAAATCAGCTGACAGTCTTATGGGAACTCTTCTGGAGATAACTAATGGCTTTTCTCTTGCTATTTTTAGGAGTCTCTCTTTACCTTTAACCTTTGACGTTTTAATTATGATGTATCTTGGAGTGGTCCTCTTTGCATGCATCTTGTTTGGGACTCTCTGTGCTTCCTGGACTTGCATGTGTATTTCCTTCACCAAATTAGGAAAGTTTTCTTTCATTATTTTTTCAAATCGATTTCTAATTTCTTGCTTTTTCTCTTCTCCTTTTGGCTCTCCTATGGTGTATATGTTGGAATGTTTGAAGTTATTCCAGAAGTTCCTTACAATATCCTCATTGTTTTAGATTCATTTTTCTTGTTTTGATTGGTGCATTTTTGCTTCCTTATATTCCAAATCATTGACTTGAC